TGTCGAATAATTGCTTGAGAATAAAATTAACACTAATCATGCGTTTCCGGCAATGCTAACTTCCAGTGAATTTTGATCAATCAGTTTAAATATTCTCAGAATATTCTCTTTATTATAATATCCGATTTGGATGTTATTCTTTTGAGCAATATCATCCACAATATGATATTTTCTGTGGTATACAGACTATGTCTGTTTTCATAAAAATCCACTTACTCGTCTGCTGTTAAATAATCATGCACTTGGCCACAGTTCTTACACACGAGATATCTTTCTTTGATTATATTTATGTTACTACAGCAGAAATATCTCTTAGGCTTACCTGGGTCTTGAATCTGCATACAACAAAAGATGCAATTAATAGCATCTTCTTCCTGTATCAACATTTGGTGAATTTCTTCAGTACACATTACTATATACTATATATAGATTTTTATTTTGATATATTTTTATGCCCATACGCATAACTGGTAATTCCATCCCAAGTATCAGATACCGTTTATCATCAAAGCAGCTAAGCGATATTCTATTCAACTGGCAGCTAGCAATCTGGTGACACTCACTCCTAATTGTGCGTATGCTGTGTACCATTTGTTTACCATTTAATAAGTAATCTTTATAATTCTCATGATTGATATTCTTTTTTATAACATTTTCGCACACGTTTTGCTGTCTTCTCGTTTTTACCGTTTTCTTTGACATGTGAATACACTTTACTGAGGAGTCCAATAAATTCTACAATAGGCATACCAGCTGCTTCATCTTTAAATTTGCCGATAACTTTTTTGTTTGTTGAATCAAAACATTTACTGTCTTTTGGATAATCACTGTTGTAAAACAAATTTTTATCCTGCCGTAACTCCTCAGAAATATCCTGTGTTTCTATTTCATAACAAAGGCTGTCTGTATCTGTAAATAATAATTTAGTCTTGTTATTGTATCTCTTTTTAAGGTAATTATAGTGAAAATCATACATGAGTGTCTTTGAAAGATCTAAAATGCAGATTCCAACATAAGCTGGTCTATCGAGTTTTAGTGTTTCTTTGATTTTATCAACCGTAACAAGATTCTCGTTGAATATTTTACTGTTAACATATGTTAACAGCATACATCAACACGCTTTGTTAAATTTTCTTAAGTTTTGCCATAAACACTATTATTCACAAGCTTGAAAAAGTCCTTTTCAAATGCATTTTTTGCACCCGCACGCTTCTGTGTATTGAAATCGATGTATTGTCTTAGCCATGGGCCCTGATCAAATTCTAATACTCTGCGTACTTTTTTAAGTTTTAGACCAAGAGATAGATAAAGTTGCAAATTCCTGTAGTGCAATACATAATTATTCTTTTCTGCCAGAAGTTGGGGTTAATTTTGCAACCTGCCCAATTGTAATTCCAAACTTTTCCTGGATATTTTTACAGTATGGTGAAAGCATATCTTTTGTTACCTTCCTTTTTTCTGCAGCTAAGGGATAATCATTATGCATTTCATGTAAATCTTCAGGGTATTCCAAATCAACTTCAATTTATTATCAGGAAATTTTGTCTTATTCATAATCTTATCAATTTGCTTTTCTGTTAGCCATTTAAATCCACCTTTGGAAGATACTGGCTCATCGCGTAACCGTATAAATTATTAGCGTCCAGATACATAATATACTTGCTGGGTTTTTCTTTGTTGTACTCTTTCATGTATTTATTATTTGCTTCCTTTTATTATATGGAGGAGAGTGTTTTACTGGGAACTAAACCACTCGTAGATTCCATACGCCACTTCATCCGGGACCCGAGTGGTGTATTTTCCGTATGTCACCTTTGTGAGTGTCGTATCGTTCAATGACGTCACGATTCCCGCCTTTTGCTTTTGTTGAATTGGTTTCTCCACATAATAAAAAGAACATTACACGTTAGCTCGAAGATATGAATTTTATGTTCTCGTGGCAAGATAAATATCTCACTCGTTCGCTTCGCTCACTCGTGAGATACTGTTCTTGCCACTCGAACATAAAATTCATATCTTCTCGCCACCGTGTAATATCCTCTATATATCGGTTGGCGATGTATGAAATACCTCCACGCGTACCTTTTTCTACAAACTGGAACATGTCAATATCACTCATTAACTCCAATTTTATGTCTCTCATTTTTAGCATTGCATCCCAACTCAATCCTGGTGATGTAACATAGTGGCACGGGTCTAATTTATAATACTGCAAACATGTACTTCTGAAATTCTCAAAAACATCTGCCAAAAGTAAAATATCAAACTTCAAGTATAAATCATGATAATCACCCATTGTCTGTAAATTAAATGTTCCCCAAACTTTTATGGCATGACAGTATTGTTCCTCTGTTATGGCATCTTGGGTTAGCTGGCCAAAGAAATCATCTTTGCGTGGCAGTTGGATTTCATCAAAACTCTCAAAAGAATTCATATAGTGATATGCATAGACACCTTTTTGGGTCATTAATTCTAATTCTTCCTTTTTGAATACATCACTTGTATACTTGAATTTGTCTTTTGGTAAATTGGCTGAAAGACGATCTAGGCTACTGGACATAAATTAAGAACTGTCCTAAAATACTAAATGTCTGCCTAACATAAAAGCCATATATTTCTCCATATTATTGGGAATACAGTTGATATTTAATTCATACTCTTTTCCCATTGTTCCTATCTCCTGCATTATAAAATGGGAATCATACCCATGGAGATTATGAAAAATAACTGGTAGCTTGTACTCTTTTGGGTTTATTCTTAATTTCAAGTTACAGTCTTGATGTGCAGATCCTCTGTATTGACCTGTTATACGACAATAATCTCTTACACGGATATCTTTATTAGTGTATTTCTTGCCACAAATATGGCACTCTCTCGCAGCATTAAAATATTGTTCATCCTCACTGCTCAGTTTTAATAGTTTCTTGAATTTGGTTTTGATTATGATTTTTTCACAGTATTGTACCTCATTTAACATTTCGTCCATGAACGTTTTTATTGGTTCTTCACCTCGGTATATTTTTACCGGTTTTGTATATTTATCATCATAACAGCAAACCACTTTGTAACCATAACTACAGCTAATAGGGCGTCTTGCTTCTTCCCGTACTCGAACTATGTTTCGCAGTTTATCATCAGTAACTCCAGGCAATAATCTTCTTATAAGTTCATTATGATTAGTCTTCAGACTATTACTATATATTATATTATTTTCATTTGAACGCACCCATCGGCATACTAGTATCAGGCGCCATCTCTTTAAGCCTCGACAAACCGCCCAAAACCGGTTAAACCCGGATTCCCAAGGTCAAGTCCAAAAAGTGTATATATCAGCCAAATATATAAAACTACCCCTGGTACCATCATTTATCTCACTACTGAAGGTAACAACAGAATTGAGAATTATGTCGAAAACGGGTCAGAGATTTTTACTAAGAGATTCGAACAGAAATCCCCGATCTTCGACCTGTTTTTTGACTTTGTTGAAGGCAAGTTATAGCGAAATTCCTTGTATCGCCCTGTGCGTTTTGTAACTCTTGGGTTTTTCTGTTCCGTCTATCATCTTAGCGGACCTCTTAGCAAACAAATGTTTACTTGCAAGAGTTTAAAAAGTCATGGTTTGTGATTCGGGATTGGTAGATTTCGATCCGTTTTGTTTCTTTGATGTTTCAAGGTTCGTGGCTTTGTGATTATCCTGTTTCGGGCAACAATCGACTTGTTAAGTTTGCTTCGCAGATTTTTCTGATCTTGCTTATTCCTGTCACTTGCAAGAATAATGGAACGTTTGCCTCCCTCCTTCGACAAAAAATCCACTCACCATCGCGATTTCCTTCGCTATTCTTGAGCAGTCTAGAGTCATTCTCAGCCAAGCTGGGCGAGCATTATATTGTGATTTGCATTAACCCCACCTTCTTTAAAATGATTGACGGAGCAGAAAAACCCAAAATCCCTCCTAACTTTGTATTATGCACAACGCGATACAATGAATTTTGCTGTAATTGTACATAACTGTATAAATAAAGTTTCTGAAGCAAAACAACCAGACAAACAAACAACAACAAAAAACCAGCATTTATAAAGATACCCACCTTGGGTCTGTTAATACTTTATTTTGTATTGTTTGATACTCAGAACAAGGGTATCTGTATATAACATTCTATGAATTTGCAGTATATTTGCAAATTAAAGTGAATAAAAGTAGTCCAATTCAACCGACGCAAAACGATTTCCTTAAAAAAATAGTTCGTAACAAAAAAGCCACACACACAAGGAGGAAGACAGCACGCGAAAGTTAAAAACGTTCATGTTATTTTATTGGACAACGACTCTCAATACGATTTTACGAAAGATTCAATTGATGCTATTAACTTACTTTCGTTTAATAGATCAACTATAGCAATCTATTCTCAGCTGGCACTGTCCGATTAGTGTGCATAATCCAGTGAATTTGCTTGTTATTTTAGATATGAAATCTGAAAATTTCTTTCCATAAATTCCCTTAACATAATCTTAGTGTATCAACCACATAATTAAATTCAAATCGATTTATTTATTTATTAATTCCTTTGATTATTGAAATCGAATTAAAAGAATAGGCCACCTCCGAGTTCAAAAAACCCTCACTTTCAAAATGAGGCCAAGTGCAAAACCTTTCTTGTGAAAAATCATTTCTATTTTAAAGGCTGAGCACTTAACCTCGTTTTCATACAGAAGCCTGGGGGAACTCGGAAATGGCCTATTCACTTTCGAGGTCTGTTCCTTTTTAAGGCTATTAAACCAAGCAAGCTCATAGCCACGTTATCAAATGCTGAAACACCCTTTCGTTCTCGATGAAATTAAGCATACCCTTTTGATCTCCCCCCCCCCCCTGCAACAAGCCCGGGTGTTGCTCGCCTGACGTGTAGCGACTCCTCTCTGAGATGGTTATCTATGCTGTGTCGCGAAGTGGGGTGGTTAACTGTAAGGCATCCAAGGAAACTGGCGTCCGAAAGATGTGTTCTTCAATGTTTGTAACTTCTGTCCTGTAGTAACTGTGAATTTGTTCGTGTTTTTGCCGTCTTTAGGTTAGTTTGATCTGGCATTTCTGAATCACTATCTGATGTATCTGAACAGTCACTCTGCTGTGAAAGCAAGAACAATAATACCATCAAGGTTAAGCCGAGCAGTCTTTCTTTAGTAGCCTTATGTGGAAAATTTGAGTAGGTCCACTGCAAAATTAAATTGCCTGAAGGACGAACCTTTACCGTGTTATGAAAAATTGATAACACGGAAGCGGTGATAAAACGCAGCTCTTCATGCTGACCAAGATTTACCCACGACTCAGAAGACTTGAACCATAAATCAAAATTCCTTAGTTCTTTATAGATCACAGAGGCTACGCTACTATGCAAAAGTGTTCGACATATATCACAATTGTGCCGGCCCCAAACAAGGTGTACAAGTCATTGTTAGGCATTAGAAAAATGTCAAGAAAAACCTCACATAATATCGCTACACGATTAAAGCGACGGTGGACTGGAGTCATCATAATTCCTTCTAAAATATGTCATGGTATCAACACTTCTAGACACCGTGTATTATATGTAGTGCAAGTTAGGGCCTGTTTACAGGAAGGTGGGGGAACCCAGGTAGGTGAGGTAATATGTGGCGGGTTACCCCACCTAACATGTAAACGTGATCACATTAAAATGAGAGATTATTTGGAAAGGTGGGTTACCTCACCTACATGGGGTTCCCACCTCCATGTAAACAGGCCCTATCTCTTGAATCTTATTAGGTGCGTTTTATGAGTTACTTATTGTAAACAATGCCTCACACTTAAGTTCTGTGCACTTAGCATCTATTTTATTACTTTACAAGACAACAAGTGCTTTAAATCAAAAAAACAACTAATGTTTACTTATTACACAGTTAGGGCATTTATTTTTTTCGTGGCACATTTTCTTTTAAGCTGTAAGTATAGCTTTTAAATGTTAAAAGCTAATATATTTAACAGATTTAAAATTATGAAGTGTATACAAATATTACGCTGTGATAATTAAATGCAAGCCGCTGAACTAGTCATCGATTACTGGCACGAAGGAGAGAAGTATTCTTACCTGAAGGAGGTCTGCCGACAACACTCCACCATCCTTTTTCCCCGCCAAAACAGCTAGCCTGTTCATAGCAATCACTTTCTTCAAGGAGTTCTGTAAAATTCGTCACATTTATCAAGTTAATAACACAAGTATGTGAAAAAAATTGACAAAGTGTAACGTTGCAATATAAGTACCTAAGAGCGGAATACGATCAGTGAAAATTGTTGTAGCTAGGTGCCAGTTTGGATCAAACATCTTATAATTGAGATAAGTACTGATTGCCTGTGCCATATTTGGTGTCACGTATCATTAAAGCCACAGTAAATACAAGCTACAGCAGGATCTTCATACGTAAATCAATTTTATTCTTAAGTTGTCCGTGTAAACGTTACTCACTTGTTTACGAGCATCGTATTTACAGTTAAATGTGGGCTAACGTAAATACGTTAATTCCGTCGTAGTTATTGAGCTTACTGGCTTATAGCCAGAAAGCTTTATGACAGCACCGGCTCGAGTGTAGGTTTTTGTCGAGGATTGAGGGTCGAGGGTAAAATGTCTGGGGGAAAAACGTACATTCATTTATAGTCTTTCTGGAAGAGATGCTTTTTTTTTTAGCTTTAACCACAAGATTTCCCGCCTTTGTGGAATTTACAGAAATGCCCGTGGGTTAATACACGCATTTCCTCTTTTTGTTTCCTCCTATCTCGAAATATCGCGTCGAGGGTCGAAAAAAGACATAGATTTACTTATAGTCTTTTTTTAAGAGCTGTCTTTTCCTTACGGCATCAATGAGAGGAGTGTAGGTAATCAGAAGACAAATAAACCTGTCACACTTTGCACCTTTTGGCCGTGTTTGTTCGCTTTTGTCCATTGCTAGTGGCCCTCTACGAAGTACTGAAACTTTAAAAGCGTTTGCTTAGACAGGAGAATAAATCCTCTCTCAGGACGAGTTATTCACTGCGTGGATTGGCCATCGTAGGGAGATTCTTGAGCGAAGCGGTAGCCCTTTAAACATATTCCACGGAAGTTCTACCGTACCAGTAATTCAAGGATATATTACAGGAAAAGAGAAAGCTTGTAGTTGGTGAAAAGTCACCCATTTTGTCGCATTTGAAAAAAGTTTGGTTGAAACAGTTCACAACGCTCGTATTATAGTGGTTAGTTTAAGACATGGACTTAGCCTGTTCGAGGCGTTCAAATGACTGGGAGCGGGCGAAAATTTGAGAAGGGAAAAACAAGGCGAACGCCACGTGCTATTTAACTCGCTCACCAGCATCTGAACGCCTGGAACGGGCTATTAAAGGCCTTTGCGTCGTTTAAGTGCGGGGGTATTGATGTTCAATTTCTGTGTGCCCATTTTTCTGTGTGCTCATATGTCGATTCATTTAATTTTTCGCCAAAAGCACGGTCATCTTTTATCGCTCAAACCACCGCAAAAACTAACCGAGAGTAAGTTTCTCTTAGTTCCGCAACGAACAAATCTTCAAAGACTTCAAAGATTTTTCTCAGATAGCTAATATTACGTACATACAGTAAGATAAAGGTCGAACGAAGTTTATTCAATTGCAAGCACCCGTATCTTCCCGCCCGAAGACTCGTCCCGCATTAAGCTAAGCTTCGGCTCCACTGATCGCTAAGTCTACATAAGTAGGTGTGTTCGTTGCGTCAGTAGCGCTTTGCACTGTTATTAAAAATAGCTATTGTGACAGTACATCTCTAGCGTGACTACTCAGAGGCTTTGTATGAGCAACATGAACATGAGGTTCCGACATGAAAATTGCCTATAAAATTCGCAATGAATGTTTTTCACTCGCTCGAAGAAAAATCTATCATTTTCTAGACCCTCGACCCTCGACATTCTACCCTCCACAAAAACCCTAGACTCCATCGGCTCAAGAATGATGGTAAGGTCATCACTCCGGCGGAGCGAGAAGTAAAGGATTCGCGCAGCTCAGGAATGCTTGAAAGTTGCATCCGGAGGTCCCGAAGTTGCTTCGGAACTAGTTCGAGATATCTTCGAATTCTTCGCATTTTCCTTTCAGGCGAAAGAAATAATTATGAGGAAGAAATAACTATTACTTTTGGAGGAAATAAAGAAGAAATAATTATTATTTCTGAACATACTTACGTGTGACCCGTCAGACTCGACGAGACTCTAAATTGTGGGATTAGCCGGCATTTCCAGAAATTACAGTAGTCCCGAAACCGTATCTGTTGAAGTTTTAACCTTGCCTGTGGCCGCCCAACCAACCTTACGTGCTACAGTAGAAGTCGCCACACAACTGACTGCCTTGAAGAACGATTTAGTTTTGCAAGCAGGTGGTTTTTGGTCAGTTGATACCTATCGCAATGTTTCATTACATACGTTTTCCACAGATAACGCATGGCAAACTGAACATATCAGCATAGAAAACAAATGTGTTGAAAAAAGAACGTAGACTGAGTGAAAGAAAACATTAAATAATTTACATTTTCTCTCTGAAAAATAACTGTCCTCTTAGCACAAGACGTTACACGTTTATGCTACGGACCATAGGTACCCGTCACTTCCCTTTTTTTGGTACAGACTATTCATTGCCAGTAAGCTCATGTCCGGGAACTAAAATTTTCTCCACTTACTTTCCAGCGTGCTCGGGCAGTGAACGCCCGAAAAGTCTCAGTCTTGATGAGAGTAGATCTTCTCTTCAATGACACTTCTGGTTCTGGCTGAAGAGTAAATGAATGTATTGTTATCACTGTACTGAATGTAAGCAGGAGCTGTGTATGTTGTCCATTGGGATTGTGATCGCCCTTTTGATAGAGTTGTCAAATTCTCAACTCCTAGGTTAGCCTGCAAAGCAGGCGCGTTTTTTTCAACGACGGCGCGACCTTGAGGTACATTAATCGCGGCCGCCTTTGACTCGCTCCAAGTCTCTGTCACTTCAACGTCCAAATCGTTCGCACCACAAAACACGTCTGCTTTGCAGGCTACTCCCAGGAAGACTTTTCACATTAAAACTGACCAAATTCCTTACTAACTAAGTAACGCAAATGCCCTGGATATTCCGGCAAAAATGTGAACCTTAAAATTCCCTTTGCATCAGGGTGGATTTCCACTGCCGCGTTACTTTAACGTGCGTACGAACGTAAATTTTACGCGCGTAAGTAAATAGAGGCAATGTATGGGAGGTCGCGAGTAACGTAAAAGTTGAACCTCGCTCAACTTTTACGTTTACGCGAGACACTTCATAATACATTGCCTTTATTTTATCCACGTGCGTACCCAAGTAAAAATTACGCGACAGTGGAAATCCGCCCGTACTGAAGGGATGGCCTTCACAGCTTAACGAAACATGAAGAACTGGAGAAAGGAGGTCAAGAGAGAAAGTAAATACAATTATAAGAAAGAAATACCTCATGGAGCCACGGATGCTTTTTGCAATCTCTTGCAGATAACCTGTCACTGAAACGAACCAAAGTAAATGTAATTAAGAATCTAAATCAATAATTAAAAATACGTCTTTATTTCTTAACATTTTTAAAACGTTCAATGTTGACTTCTGGTCTTATTATTCTCCTATAGTAAGAGGAACAACTCCTTACAATAATTTTGTGTCAGAACATGACACGACGTCATCTGGACAGCGTAAGGTAAAGGTCAAGTAGTACGGGCAAAATTTTCGTCCAACTTGTCGCGCAAACTTGTTGCATTGCATTTTCTAGCCTCTGACAATTAATCAAGGACAAAGTTGCTGTCTAGGGTATCGACATGTTTACTCAGTTTCTGGCCAAAGTTTTCCGAGGTCAGGCGCTCACCGTATCAAAAACGTTGTGATGCGTGGAAAGTTGTGAAAGTTTGAGAAATGATGTGATCAACATGTCACGAGTACGGAACAAAGGAAAAATCTGAGTCCCCGACAGGAATTGAACCTATGACCTTCCGTACACCGGTCGGATGCTCTAACCACTGAGCTACGAGAGACTTGTAACGAGCTGGGCCATTTACAAGGTTCATGTATAACATGCACCTTGCGTACTGCTGGGATCATATCGAAATCGGCATGTGTGTGATAAATAAAGAAAGATGGTAAATTTTAAGCTCGGCGAAGAAATGAGAAGTTCAAGTTCTTATGGCTACAAAAGACCTAAATGAAGAGAAAGTCATCTCCGAGACCTTTCACAACCAGCATGGCAAATGCAACAAAAACCTTAAAGCTGGTACGCAGTATACGCCTTCTGAATACGGCAGGGGTTTTCATTTATTCAAAATATTTCCCCGATTCTGATTGGCTAAAAGCACACGCATAATTCACCATAACCAGCTAATGATGACCAAATTTGGAAGAAGTTTGTTTAACGACGAAATGACGTCAAAAATGCAGCGTTCTTGCAGGTTAAGGCACCGTTAACCGAGAAGACCTGGGGACGGGGTTGACTTTTTTCGGTTGTGGAAACAAACAATGGCGGACATTTCACTCTTTTCAAGAGTAAGAACTGGGCGAAATTATGGCTAAAAACATGGCAAGAACAGCAAGAACGCAACTCGAAGAACGACATCTGCAATTTGGAGAATATTTGCGGAGCTGAACAACCCTAAACGTGTACTATCGAAGGTGAACTTAACATCGATGGAGGTAAGCATTTTTAGCTTTATTTTTAAACTAGGAATTATTTTGAATGAATACTAATTAAAAATTATTGAATTCGGCTTTCGTTTCATATGAAGAATTATAGAGATCTCGGAGGGTGTTATCCGCCTCGGCTTTCGGCCTTGACAGATAACACCCTCCTCGATCTCCATAATTCTTCATAAGATACTCAGCCTCATTCATTAATTGTTAATTATTATTCATTCAAAATATTTCCCCGATTCTGATTGGCTAAAAGCACACGCATAATTACCCATAACCAGCTAATGATGACCAAATTTGGAAAAATTTTGTGTTTAACGAGGAAAGGACGTCAAAAATGCAAAAAAGCAGCGTTCTTGCAGGTTAAGGCACCGTTAACCGAGAAGACCTGAGGACGAGGTTGAGTTGTTTTGGTTGCGAAGACAAAAAATGGCGGACATTTCACTCGTTTCAAGAGTAAGAACTGGGCGAAATTATAGCTAAAAACATGGCAAGAACAGCAAGAACACAACTCGAAGGGCGACATCTGCTATTTGGAGAACATTTGCGAAGCTGAAAACCCTAAACGTGCACTATCGAAGGTGAACTTAACATCGATGGAGGTAAGCATGTTTCAGCTTTGTTTTTAAACTAGGAGTTATTTTGAGTGAATAATAAAACAATTATTGAATTCGGCTTTCGTATCATATGAAGAATTATGGAGATCCCGGAGGGTGTTATCTGTCGAGGCCGTAACACTCTCCTCGATCTCCATAATTCTTTATAAGATACTCAGCCTTTTTCATTAATTGTTAATTATACCATGCTCTCCATATATGGTCAGTGTTCGCGTTAGTTCAAAATCGAAAGCTAGCTGAGAATTTTTTTCGCGAAGGATAGAATGGCGCCCGCAGAAGATTGTTTTAATTCTTAGAATACTAGAAAATGCAATTTAATTTCACCGGAAAAAAACAAACAAACAAAAAAGCCACAAGAGTTTGTTTGAAAGTTTATAGAAGAATACATGAAAATACATGAAACTGAAATACCTCGACCAGCTACGAAGGAGGACAAGAACTGTTTCTTCATGATTGTGAAGCCACTGCCCGATAGATAACTGCAGCCTGTTCATCCGACATAAGGAATATCACAAGCAACTAGCCACAAATACAGGCTAAGCAACCATTCACTACAGCAATCCAGGCGTATGTATAGCTTCTTTTCTCGTTCAGTAAAACCAGCTGGCGGCTTCAAACAACTACATAACAACCTTAGCTTTGCATGAGTTTTTGAATGGCGACCGAGGGAATAGTTTTCCTCTATTGTTCTTACGTTTGCAACTACAAAAATCCAAATTTACAGTAATTTCGACGGCTGCACTTCACTTCAAAATTCTTTTTGTTCTTATCATCTGCTAGTTTTTTAGCGGTTCTGTTTTGTTAAATCCTAGAATCCCGGTGAGTTTTTAAAAGTGTTCATCACTATAATGTTTAGACTACGAGTAGTCCCCCCTTTTTCCTCAGGGATAGAAGAGCGAGCGAGCGAAATGCGAGCGTGCGTGAAAATCACCCCAAGCGAGAAAAGGCGACATGTGGCAGGGAGTCGACCTCCTGTCCACACGAAACTAATTAATCCGCTCAACTAAACCGCATCTCTTTGAACCCGTTTTCCGAAGCATTTTTCTTTTTTTGATCCGACGGATTTGCGAATACGTGTAGACGACTGAAACCTGTCGTATTGGAAACGATGACCCAAAAAACGAACATCGACGACTTAAGACCCTGAAAAACTAAGACGAAGACTCCAAAATCTGAAAAGGAAAATTCCTTAAAATTCACATAATTTTTTAAGCTCTTAAAAACTGAAGTTATTGCATCTCATTGACAATGCGCAAACTAGAAATCATTAGATGGTACTTATAATCACGGACAAATCACAACGTACATTTATTAGTAAATGCACATTATTTTTCAATCTCTTGATAACTGTTGGATAAGAAGCTAGTATTTTGGTGAGGAAAAGCTAGGAAAGTTTGGTGTCAGAGCTAATCTGATCCAGTTCATATAATAGTCTTACATGAGCCCTAAAACCAAAATAAAATACATTGTATGAAAGTCAAAGTGAATTTTCTTAAATTATCACGCTTACCTTGTCTTCTTCTTTAGAAGAGAAGATATAAACTCTTTAGCTTGCGATGTAATGTCAGCAAAGTACTCTTGATCAAATTCATAGCTCACATTCTGTATGTTTGCAAATGTTTCAATATCATCATCTGCAAGGAATGGGGATGCTCCACTTAACCTTGGGAAAACAGAGTAAAAAATCCAGCGTTCAGTATCAGTCATATTCAATACGACTCACGGGCTGAAAAATTGGACGTTTCATCTTATGCCTTTTTTCACCATAGTTATTTGCACACGCCAGCAGAGACACTCAGTATCAGTTATCAGTATTAGTTCCATTTTTATAGGTTTTGGCCAAAACGCGAAATCAAAGTCCCGCAAAAATATGTCAGTTCCATTTTCGCAAAGTTAAGTTCCAGCGAAAATAAGTAAAGACAAGACGCTGTGGGAGCGTATATTTGCACGTCGATGTACTTCACGTGTGTAAAGTTTTTGGTGTGTATTAGTGATGTGTGAGTAGTACAGTAGTGTTGTATATTTTAGGGGTTGGTTGAGATGTGTGAAGTGGAAGGCGTGGAGTTATACTGGATGTGGATTGGAAAGCCAGTTGTTACACAGTAACCACGGGCTGCCTTTAGTAAATACAATAGTCAGAAACTTCGCATGCCTTCCGTTTTAAAACTGGAAGAAGATTATAATGTTACATTTAGGTAACTGACCTTGCGCCCATTCACTAACCATTAATTATGTGGTTAAACCTCAATAAAAGCCATGAGCTATGAGATTGCTTAAAGGTGATTTTTTTATGAAGTTAAATTTTTAGCAATGAAAAGAAACACCACAACGTGAACATCCTTCTTCATCTTCTTTTGTTAGCCATCGACAACAAAAAAATACTTAGCGACTAAAAACTAAACAGTTATAAATCTAAAGTGAAAATTTCCAATGATGACTAGGAAACTATACTGTAAATTCAAGGAATCTTCCAGAATCAAAGGCATTGTCCGCTTTTGGCAAGGTCTCATTGCCTGATAGCGCCCTTCAACAATAAGAGAAACTCGCACTGTACTTCTTTCACCCAGCCTCCTTCATCGAGAATGCTGCTTAGCATTTTAACTTGAACCCCGAGAAAACAGTGCATGAAGGCCTCGATTGACTGATTTAACCATGACAGCCCCGTCTGTGTGAGCCTGTTTGCCTTGTTGGGCACAAAGTAGTTAAAACGATGGTCTGTGTTCTGACATTTCTGATAAAAGCGACCAGGTTTCTCTCATTGACTCTGCCCCCTTCATCGTCAAATTTTGCATGTGCGCCGGGATAGCCCATGCCTGTGGATGTAGGACCATATCTGGAAACACAAATAAAAACATTGCCAAGACCATGGTATGCGCTGTGCATGAAGCGGAAATCTGCTGGTGACTCCACTCTAAACTCAGCGCAAATTCTCTTGTACGATGAAATGTCATGTTTGATGTTCGTTTGATTGAACGTCGAGTCCCTCACGTTTTGGATGCTTCCCATCTCGTAAAAAATTCTTCTTTCCATGAAACAGACGTGACATTGAAAAAAAAAACTCTCAGCTTCACTCTCAACTGCTTTTCACTCAAAATGTCTCGGGAAATACCACGGCCAGTGGTTGCACACCATAGTGCAAAAGTCCACTGCTGCTGCCAATATTTCATATTTGGCTCTGCCAGTTACACCCAGACGACGATCGAATAGTATCCCATGATGCACCTCATTTCATGTTATATTACCACTGCGTACGTGACATATCATGATCAGTAATCTTCAGCACGCGCGAAATGAACATCGCAGTGCTCGATATGGATGGTTTCGAAACATTGTTTCGGTACGGCGGCTTCCGCTTTTGAGATTATCAAGTTAGATATATTCACTGTGCTTCAAAGGACAATTTCAGCGTTACTTTGACTAAGAAGGGTTTTACATGTATTTCACTGATCTGTCGGGAACTACTTGTGCGCTCGGTCGCAACTACAAACACAAAGTATGATACTCGGCAACTGATAAGGTTCGCTGGGAGAACCGAAACCATGACTGATCTAAAAAGTGGCTCCAACAAAACAGCCGCTACGCTGTAAGGCTAATTACCAAAGGAGGATTTATTACAGCATCACGTTCAAAGGAGCTCAGTTTACAACGGCAGTTAGAAATAACATTTAACCTATCGATGCGACAAACAATCCTCCGAAGCACAATCTATCCGGTATTGACTCAAGTAATCTTCAAGGAAATTTCCTGGCCAGAAGACTGATCTGTTCTTTTGAATAAATAAAGATTTGTGATATTTCTTTTTCAAATTCTGAGCAGGCTTGTTTAACGTTGTGCCGCTTACGTGCGGCGTGGCACCTTTGTTTGGGTTCCTATCTCACTGAAACACACGGCATTATTAACCGCTCCTTGTTCTAATTAAAATCATTATAGTCAAATTCTTTTTAAAAATAACCACGTTAAAATACAAAGTGATCGCTTCGGCATAAAGCGCTCTTGAAAGCACCCAACAGATTGTAGCCTTCAGCAGGCTTTACACATATATTATCACACACGGCGTTGAGATGTGATTAAAGATACAAAATTTCAGCCATCTTTGGTCGATAAAAAAGTCTTCAAAATGTGGGTACTTCTGGGTACTTCTTAGCCTGTACAATATTCAGGACTTCATTTTGCTGGCGTAAGGTCCACATTTGGAAGATTTCATCATATAATCCAAAAAATCGTGAAAACGCATGACCTTGTTGTGGGTCACTGAACACTTTGTGATGCGAAGACTAAGTGCAACAATGATTTTAGATGTTTCTATGTGGAAACTTCGCTCTTAAGCCATTGCAAAGCGGAAAAATCATGTCAAATAACAAAATAACACAATTTTCTTACTTTTACTGGAACACAAATGAGAAAAAAGCCGACAAGAAAACAATCTTATTTCACGATGAAACCTGCCATGACTGCGATATTGTGTGATGCTTCTGGAAAAATGCATCATGGGATACTATTTGATCGTCGTCTGAGTTACACCCTTGCCTCTTTTCCTGTTTTGTGTGTTATATTTGGGTTTGTAAAAATCTCTCTGAACTTTGTTGTAAAATATTCTGTTGCAGTGACATTTTTTTTTGCTCCCGGTTGAACAGCCCACCAACACGTACAACACTATTTGCAAAATCAACCGCTGGCACCACTTCTGATCAGCAAAAGCTGACAGGGGAAACTTCTAAATCCCAGGGCAATTCGCAAGACTCTACTACATTTTTTTTGCCAACCTCGTCTGGATCTTGAAACCATCCTGGCCCTGCTTTGAAATATACCTCACCTGTACGAGAGATTTACCAACCATACCCCTCATAGTTTTGTGACGTTGAGCAGCACTACCAATTTAAGGCTGGGGCTACCAAATAAGGTAATGAGCACGTGCGAACTGAGTAAGCTAGAACTGGACGAGACGAAAAAGGAACAGTGAGCGCGAGTTTTCCTTGTAGGTTTTTCATCGAGTTTAGTGAGAGTTTTGTGAGTTAGATTGAAGCGGAATAAACCAGGAAACCGTGTGATTGTGAGTTCTATGGGCTGTTTTATTGTTCAGCTCATTTTTGGTGCTGAGACCAGGATACGCTGCAGAAATACACAACGCTAGCGAGACAGTTTGAGAACTGAAGTGATCCTTCTCGGAGTCAAAACAAACATGAGCGACAGCGAAGAACCGAGCAACGACGAACAACGTCTCATAAAAGAGATCGACAAGGAAATTGATGGAGGAGATAGAGGAACTGATCAAAATTCAGGATTATTCGGAGATGGAAATAGTCAACAAACGAGCTGTGAAAATCATTGCAAAGCTGTCGGATCTTATTTCACAGACAGAAGAATTAAAAATTGAGCGAGGATTGTCGCCTCGGACTGTGAGACAGTGGAAAAAAGACATTAAATCAAAGTATGCCGCATCTGTTAGCGAAAACGAGAGGCTTAGAAAGTGTTCAGATGATAGAGAGGAAGAAATTACGCGACAAAAAGAAGATTTGAAGCGGGAGCAACAGTTGGAAGATGAGCGGCGATTGTACGTGTTACGTAAAAAACAACAGGGGCACGAGCGTGAGTTGTGGAAGGAAAAGCTTGAAGCTGAATTACTTGTGGCAGAAAAGAAATTAGAAATGGAGAAAACAGCTGTTTCAAGCACCACAAAGTTACCGAAATTAAAGATAACACCGTTCAAGGGTACCGCCGGCGACTGGATAAGATTTGAAAACATGTTCCTGACGCAAGTAGATACGAAGTCGATTTCCGACGAAGAGAAATTCGGGTACCTTCTGGAATCCGTTAGCGCGAAGGTGAGAGACAGAATTGCAAGCCTGGAACTGTTGGTTACAAGACAGCGTGGGATCGACTTAAGAAAGAATAGGGACCTTAAGATACTCTGGACGCGGCCGAGGAGGACGTCAACCGGAAGTGAAATGTTCAATTCTTGGAACTAATTAGCATAATGCCACAGCGTCGACCTGAAGTCGCGACGGTGAAAACTAGAAGTTTGGCCGCCTCTTAAAACGGTGAGTTGGTGTTCTTGTTTTCAGTGCAGAAATTGCTTTTCGTACAGGATTTTCGATCCGTTTTACTTCAAGAGACACATTTAAGTGTTTTTAGTGAGGTGTTCTCTCAAGATTGCCTCTTATTTTTTTGCTATCAAGCCTTTTGGGTTCAGTGTTTTGGCGGCAACTGAGAATGAAAAAGCAGAGTCGTTCGACACAAATGTAACACTATAACTGCTTGTTTTTAAGGGGACAACGTTCTCGCTTTAGGATAGTATTTGAAAACTTTATGAGACAAGAAGTCGAATAAAAATTGTTGAAAAACAAAAAATCTAGGCTTGTAATAAACTTAAACGTGTCGGAGAAAATTGAGATCTTGAACAAGACGCCATGGTTCATTTATTAACTTTTATAATTTTATTTTGTTTACTTTCAGTTCAGCGATGGAGCGATCTGATGACCAAAATCTCGCCTTAGTACGGGAAATTCTCGTAACAGAACCATATGGTTTTAAAGCAAGATCTAGAACAACGGAAAGCGAAAAAACAAACAAAAAGCTGATAACCTGAACTCCGATTATACCCTCAAGTTTCCCTCGAAGAAATTCGGTTTTTTTTTTTAGAGAAACTGGAGTCATAGCCGGCAGCACAAATTTTTCTTCCGTTAAGGTATCAATCAAGCAAGACTTCACGAGTTATGGAATTAAAACACGAAAGCATTACTTTATCCTCTCTCGTCAGGCGAGCACTCAACCCAACCTGCTCAATCTTAATTTGTTTTTCCCGCGAAGGTGGCGGCGTCCTCGCTCCAGGCTTTCTCCGTTCTCTTTACTGCCGCGTCCAGGGTATCTTAAGGTCCCTAATATGGGCAAACAAAGGTCGTCATGAATGCGCACATGGAAGAAATCATCAATCTATTTCCAGTCAAGGGGTCCAATTATTTCAAGGTGCAAGAATTCTACGAGAAACTGAGTAGCAACTATGACGCGCTTCAAATCCTCGAAGAAGGCCAAAAGTTACAAGGGTTTGTTATGACTACGCTCAACAAGTTACCTCAGGTAAAGCCCGATCTGGTGAGAGTGGATGAAAGTTGGGAGGAATGGTCAATGGAAGACCTGATTGATGCTCTGCAGAAATGGCTAAGGAGAAATCACGTTGAAAGCAGCAAATGCGAAAAACATCTGTTCTCACAGAAGCAAGGAGATAAGCTGAAACCCTATTGCCTTTTCTGCCGAAAACAAGAGCACTGGAGTGAGGACTGTACCCTAGTAACAGCATTAGCGGACAGGAAGAAGTTCTTCGTAGATCACAATTTATGTTTTAATTGTGGAGCAGACCAGTGCCGTAGGCGTGGCTGCGCCAGGTGTAGATATAAACACCATAGAAGCATATGCGATAGACCGAAGAGGGAAAGCAGTAATCCAGATGGAGTGTCACTAACGGTCTACTCCAATTATGCAGAGGAGAAAGTGCTACCTGCAATTATTCCCGTCAGTATTGGGGGACAAGTGCTTTGGGCCTACCTAGATACAGGATCTGGACGCAATTCCATTTCACGTGAAGCAGTCAAGTTAGTAAAGTTGAAACCGACACGTCACGAGACTCGCGAAATCTTGACAGTCAATGGAACCAAAGTCCAGACAACGCCAATCTTTGACACCCATATTAAGTCCCTGGATGGGGAATCATGTGAAGAGGTGGAATTCACTGGATCGAAGTTAGCTGATTTTACTACAGTGAGAAGGCCAGACATGAATCAGCTGAAGTTGAAGTACTCACATACACAGGACAAGAGGTTCTACATGACGTCCACAGGAGAACATCAGATACACCTCATTCTCGGAGACAGTGTTTATAGTAGAATAAGGACGGAGAGAGTATTTAAAGGGCACCCGGGAGAGCCGCTGGTAGAGGAGACAACTTTCGGTTGGGTGGTCCATGGGGGAGACGAATACGGGAGTGGGAGCAGCTGCATGTACTTGAGAGAGGTTAATGACTATGAGAAACTGTACAGTTTGGATGTACTGGGAGTCGAGGACCGGGTAGAGAATGATCAGCTGGATGTTCTGCGTGACTTTAAAGACAGTGTTGTCAGAAAGCAAGATGGAAGGTATGAGGTTGGTTTCCCTTGGATACCGGGAGCTACATTAACGAACACAAATGAAGCACTTAGCAGAAAGCGGCTTGAAAACGTGGAGAGAAAGCTGTCAAGAGATAAGAAACTGAAAGGAGAGTATGGTCGCATCATTGAAGAGTAACTCAGAGCAGGGGTAATCGAGGAAGCACCTCAGATTCCTTCTGGAGAACGTGTGTTCTACATGCCTCACAAGCCAATTGTAAAGCAGAGTGCAGTTACGACTAAGGTTCGCATGGTGTTTGACGCAAGTGCTAAGCCCCAGCCTTTGACTTACAGCATCAATGATTGCATGTTTACTGGTCCTCCGTTGCAGCCACTTCTCTGGGACATAATGGTTAGAGTGCGGAAATCCACAAGTCTGCTCCTTGGAGACATAGAAAAGGCGTTTCTCCAGATAGGCGTGAAGGAGGAGGATAGAGATGCAGTCAGATTCTTGTTCAACCTTAAAGGAACGGAGAAACATTTAAGATTTACACGTGTACCTTTCGGAGTTGAAGCAAGCCCTTTCCTACTGGGAGCCACTCTGCAGCATCACTTTGAACATCAAGGGTCAGAATTTGAAGAGACGGTGAGAGCACTTAAGGAGAACACTTATGTTGACAATCTCATGCAAACGGGAGGAAAAGTAGAGAAACTCATGCGGTTCAAAGAAGAGAGTACTGCCATACTTGAGTCTGCCAGGTTTCCGGTGCACAAGTGGGAATCTAATGTCAAGTTTCTTGAAAGTCATGCCAAATCCAAGCAAGATCCTCGGACATGTGTGGAATAAGGATGATGACACACTGGAGCTGCTTGCAAAGCCTTTTGCACAAGAACATCCAGTGACCAAGCGCACCATACTCAATTACCTAGGAACTGTCTATGACCCACTCGGGATAATCTCGCCCACCATGGCTGAGGGAAAGCATATTTATTGAGAAGCCTGCCATGAGAAGAAAGACTGGAATGCAGAAGTTTCCCCCAGATTGAAGGACCAATGGTTAAGGTGGACGAAGCAACTTAAAGATGTAAGGGCGCCTAGAAGTATTGCTTCATTTGTTGGAGAGATAGGAGCAATCTATTACATCTTTTCACAGATGCCAGCATTCTAGCATGCTGTGCGGCAGCTGTTGCGGTGGTAGAATATGAGGCAGGCGCGACCAAAGGACTCCTGACCTCAAAGTCGCGGATATCAAAGAGAAGTACATCAATAGCAAAACTGGAGCTCGTGAGTGGCCACATGGCAGTAAACATGGCCAAGAACCTCAGCATTGCTATCCAGCGATGGCCCATCCAAACCATCAACATTTGGATGGACAGTATGGTAGCACTATATTGGATAACCAGTCCGGGAGAGGATGGAAGGTGTTTGTATCAAATAGAGTAAAGAAGATAGCAGAAACCGCTGGTCCAATCAACATCACTTGGAAGTACTGCCCATCAGAGTTGAATCTAGCAGACCTCGGAAGTAGAGGGGCAACCATTGTGAAGATGGAGAGAGGAAACTGGTTTGCCGGTCCGGATTGGCTCTTGAACAAAAGGCGGTGGCCGGAGCAGCCAAGGCTGAATAGCACCAAAGAAACAGATGAAGAGAGTAAGGTCACCCAAGAAGCAGTTCTTCGCACACAAGAGCGCATGTTCGATGAGTGGGATGCCTTGTTAGAAAGAAGCACCCACTGGCGTACAATGAGAGTAACAGCATGGGTGTTACGTTTTATCAGAAACTGCAAAGCGAGAAGCAAGTCAAAGATGTCAGGCCCATTAGTTACGGAAGAAATCACAACTGCAAGTGACTACTGGGTAAAGCGAGTTCCGAAAGCACAGGAAACATGTCTGAAGTCCCCAGGATGGAAGTTGGTCAAAGATGACTGTACAGGAGTTCTCAGCTGTGAAGGCAGAATTAATTGATATAGGCCGATTTGTCTTCCTGGTGGTCTACTTGTGGAGAAGCTTATCCTTCACATCCACAATCAGGTCATGCATCTTGGTGTCGCGAACACGATGGCGAGCGTGAGGGAAAACTGGTGGATACCAAAGTTGAGAGCAAAAGTGAAGAAGGTCATTAAGAACTGCAACATCTCTAAAGTATACTCCACCAAACCTTATGGAGTGCCATCAACTAGTGCTTTGCCAGAATATAGAACTGAGAGGAGCAGACCGTTTGAAGTAACCGGAGTGGACTTTGCCGGACCCTTCCTGTACAAGGTCGGTAAGAAAGAAGAAGGAAAGTGCTATGTCATTATTTTCACATGTGCTAGCTCCAGAGCAGTCCATTTGGAAGTTGCAAGCACCCAAACGGCAGATGAATTCAAGAGTAAGCTGAATGCCTTTATCTCGCAACGAACAAGACCTCGCATCATCATCTCAGGTAATGCCAAAGTGTTTAAGGCTACAGCAGATTGGATCAAGACAGTGAGGAGAAGTGAGAAGTTGCAGAATTACTTAGCACGTGAGAACATCCGCTGGCAGTTTAATCTTGCAAAGTCACGCTGGTGGGGAGGAATCTATGAGAGATTGATTAAGGAGATAAAGAATACCTTGCATAAGACCTTGAGGAGGTCACAACTTTCCTATGAAGCATTTGAATCAGTCATCATGGATATCGAAAGAAATTTGAATCGCCCCTTGACATATGTTGAAGCAGAAAGAGAGGAAGTGGCGGTACTTACACCGAACATGATCCTGTGGGGATGTGATGTGTATGCTGTAGAAGACACTGAAGGCTCAGATGTAGAAAAGCTAACAAGGATGGCCAAACGATTGGAAAATGCCAAGGCCAATGCATGGAAACGCTGGAAAAGGGAGTATGTCCACAGCCTAATGGAAAGTCACAGGCTTAACAAGGAAACGGGAACTATACCTCAAGTGGGAGAAAATGTACTCATCATTGGAGACGAAAAGAACCGCAGAGAATGGAGAAAGGGTAAAGTAGTGCGTCTTATCAAAGGCAAAGATGACGTCGTTAGAGGGGTGACATTGTTACACAAAAGGCACACTATTGACCAACCGCTTCAGTTAGTTTGTCCCTTGGAAATCAGAACGGTGGAGAATGTTGACCAATCTCAAAAGGGGAGGAGAGATCGTGCTGATGTAGGAGAACAGAGACCAAGACGAGCTGCAGCTCAGAGGGCTGCTCAGAGAATCGCAGAACAATTGCAAGAAGAAGAGAATTGACAAACTGAACTATGTTCGAGTATAAACCGGACTGTCATATGGCAAACTGGATTAGTTTCAAGTTACGTTTGATTGTAAAAATTGCGTGCTACAATTTTTAGGGGAGTTGTGTACGAGAGATTTACCAACCATACCCCTCATAGTTTTGTGACGTTGAGCAGCACTACCAAATTAGGGTTAGGGCTACCAAATAAGGTAATGAGCACGTGCGAACTGAGTAAGCTAGAACTGGACGAGACGAAAAAGGAACAGTGAGCGCGAGTTTTCCTTGTAGGTTTTTCATCGAGTTTTGTGAGAGTTTTTTGAGTTAGATTGAAGCGGAATAAACCAGGAAACTGTGTTATTGTGAGTTGTATGGGCTGCTTTATTGTTCAGCTCACACCCATGGCTCGATTTTTGTCATCAAAGGTTACCTCCGTGGTAAAGTTGCTCATGTCGGCGTTTGGGTATTTCCGCTTAAACTTTGCAAGCGCCTTTGCTTTTGCCTCCTGCGAAAAACGGTTGTGCTCACAATCCATGCGCCCACAAATTACATATTGTGAAGTTTGAGCACCCAATTGCAAAACCTTCCTATATCAGGCTTCTGTCGAGCTCTTTTAACAATTCCTGGGATAATTTGAAAGTCCCAGGAACAATTATATTTGTTCCCCCCAAAACAGCACCAAAGAACAAAAAGAATGGAAAGTTGCCATTACACTATCGATTTCTTAGAAACACAACTTAACAACATGTTTTAAAAGGAACTTGGAAACGAAAGTCGAAGCTGAAAAGTACGAGTCTGTTGCAGCCTTAGTGATTTACAATCTTGAAGAGGACAATGTAATACTTAGATTCAATTCGCAAGATTTTTTGGGTTAATTAGCAAAAAATTAGGGAAAAGAACATACATAAAATGCTTGATGGCGCCAACTAGTTATTTCATTCATTCTGATTTCATGTCAAAAACAGAAAATCTTCTGAACGGAAAACCTTAAAATCGTTTAGCTAAGTTTTCAATCCGAGGCAACCAGTACGAAAACATTGATTACATAGCAATCCCACATCACGTGCTGCGCGACATTGCCTTTGGGGATACACATTAGTTTCACTCTTTCTGTGAAAGATGAAAATGAAGAATTGTTGGATTTCAAAGGGGCCCCTTTGGAATTGGAGTTGGAAACAAATTAAAACCATTTCATATAGAATGTCCTCATCGAACATTCTTCCACATGCCCCACCGAAAAAGATTTATCCGGAAGTGCCTGCCGGCCATTTCCGGCTAACTCGAATAACGGAAATTGAGAGAAATTTCTGCAGAATCTGAACACCACAGAAAAGTTGCAAAAAATACAAAAAAGCACAAACTGCCACACATTATGCTGCTGTTGGTTTGGACACGCTTGCATCTACACTCTCAATTTCTGGCGTTGCAGCAGGCCTTACTAGCCCTGGAATAACAATTGGCGTGCCTATCGGAGGCGTTCAGCCCTTTATAGGTCTGCCTCTGCTTTTTTCAACAGGCGCAAAAAAAAAACCTCAGCTTGAAAGTGAAAAAAACACGATAAAAACTACTCACACGCCCTTTCAAAACGTGCCACGGTTCATAGCCTTGTTTCTGAGGGCTTGAATTACAATTATAAGATTGTAAACTCCGAGCTGGAACAGTCCTTCAAACTCAAAGAGGCTGTGCTGTCTAACAAAAATCACTCGCAGGCCCTGATATTGAAAAAATAAAAAAAGAGATTCAGGCCGAATTCATAAGGACCTGGTTGGCGAGTAGATTTCTCTGTTAATTTTCATTTTAAAAAAATCAGATTGAATACATATAATACTTGCCGCCTTTTGTGCTTTGGTATTTTTTCTCAACAAAGTACGCACAAAAATGAAAAAAAAAATCTGTACAATCGCCCAAACGCTTTTTTAGCTTTAGAGGAAGCAGGCCAAATAGAGATTGACAGATAGTGTGTAAGATGGCGAGGGACGAATTTCTCACGGGCCCTACTCTCTACCAAGTCTACAAAAGCTGCAATTTTTTCTTAAAACATGAACAAAAAAGTTAGCACATTTCTGCCCTTCATGTGCAAAAGAGAAATCAAAATTTTTTTCATGATTACGGTTATGCAACGATTGTGAAGTACAAATGCAAATTTCCCATTCCTAAGTCGACATGTTTTGCCCAAAATGCGGATTGATTGAAGGAAATATTTGTTTCAACATTCCCCATTAGGAAAGAAAAATTTATAGACCTAAAAGTTATTATTTCAAAAACAAAATTAATCATTTTTTAAAGCTCAGAGGTTTGAACTTTGACATAATATTGGTGGAAGGAGTTATTTCTGTTGACAACACTTTAAATGAATTTGTTGATTATGAAAAAAAATATCAAATAACTTTTTCATTCCAAGAATTATAACCAAAAATGATGTAATTTACCACTCGTTTTAAAACATTACAAGCTGCTCAATTAAAATTGCAAGCCACATTCCCATTCAAAATTTTAATAAACGCCTTTCATCCTTAATCTTCCTCCTCCACTGGGTAAGTCTCTCCACACTGGTGCAGTTTGATTATGTACCAATCCAAGCTGGCCAGAAGACAACTTGAACATTAAACTCATCAACACATATGGAGGAAAATGTGGTAAACTTTCTGACCCTAAGCGTTTCGACAGTGCACAAATTTTTTTGGACAGTCACTTTTGTTGCGGCAGGTTGTTATGAGCATTGCAGTAAAAATCATGAACTGAGTGCATGAAAATGCCCGTCAAATCTGCAATTTGGCGATCCAGATGGCTGTCTTTGTGACAGTGATAATATTTCTGGCTCGATTGGCATTAGTTGGTCTGGTCAGGTTTTTGGTTGGAAACGAAGGGACAAAGGCCAGGCCTGTTTAGTGAATAATGAAAATGCCCATCACAATAAAACGAGAACATGCTGTTGTGTGTATTTAAACGCTGCTCGGGGCATTTTGGTTTGTCTCGGAAAGGTTTTGAATGCTCAACAAGATGCTGTTTAAGACAGCCAAAGCGAAAATTCTGTTTGCTGTGACTGCCTATTTGCAGCCCTTCAACCTGGCCGTGCCGTAGCCATGTTCCAAAGTGTGCAGGGGGTTACACTTGTTGGCTTCCGATGCAAAATTTCTATTTTTCAACCAGGTTAAATTGGTTAAAATCAATGCTCAGCTCTGCGAGACTAATTATTTATGGCTCACACACATGGGGAAGGGGGCGTGGTTCAAAGGCTGAAGTGAGGTGAGCCAGAACCCTCCTTCCCCATGTGTGTCAGGGGGATGTAACGTGTAGGATGTGCGGTAGAGCTGCTGACCCTCCCACATGTTTCAAAGTACTCGAACTGACACAATGCAGCGTTGAAGATACTTTTCCTCAAAATGTGTAAAGAGCTTAAATTGGTGGACTCCATTCCCTAAAGGTACTCGCCAGTAACACCTAAACCAATTTGCAAGACACCTGATGCAAACGCCTATTGGGATGTTCCAGTTTACGAGGACCATACTGTGTCAAGGCTAACAGAGTGGATGCACAGTTCGTCGATCATAAGGGAAAGTAAGTCTGGGCAGTTGAAATGAGTTGTCTGTGGGTCGAGAATCGTGGAAAGAAGGATGAGGAGAAGACAGCCAAGTATGGTCCTCTGCGATGGGAGTTGAAGAAGCAATACCCAGGATATAACATCAACCAGTGTAATATCGTCATTAATGTGTTAGGAAGGTGGTCAAAGGAACTTGAGCTGACTATGAAAAAGCTCGTTGGTGTAAGGCCAAAGGAAGTTTTGAAAAGAATACAGAAAGACACCATCTCGTGCTCGCTCAACATAGCATGTACTTTCAAGGCAACTGCATGCCGCTTAACTGTTTGACCGAACTTAGTAAGGACGTATTAAGACCATGTATCGTTGGGATCGCAGTAGTGACGTTTAAGGGATTTTTAAGGATTAGTCTAGATTCAAAAAGTATGAATTTCTTTTATTTCTCAGTTGTATTTTATCATCTTCACTTTTATCTTTCTGAATTTTCTTAAATTTTACCTTTGTAACATTCCATAACACAGTTCGTTTTTAGTCTCGCTTGCTATCTCTTGAAAGCATTCATTACTTTGGAACAAGTGAACACTTCAGTAGTTGAAAAAAAAAAGCAAAACTTCGATGGTGAGGATAACTGGTCTTTCGTTGTATGCAAATGGTCTTGTGATGAGCATGCGGTTTATTTTCAGCGATTGAAATGATGCGCCATGTTCATCACGAATTTTTGTGTATTTATACACGCGTATACGTGTATTTATACACGCGTTCCTCAGCTTCCGGTTTCACCTCGTCAAACCGTCTACAGTGCACATACTAGATGGCATGGCAATAATGCAAATGGTAGAGTCTAGCGGAGCAACGTTTGGTGATCTCTTTTTAAAGTATTTTGACATCTTAACAACACCACTGTCCCATCACCACTGCCGACTGCTTCGAAGTTCACATTGTTTTTGATAAGTACAAAATTTTGAGAGGGAGAAAGTAGAGGTGCTTCAACTGCTCTTGAGGTAAAGATAAGCAATCCATCAACTCCCATACCTAAGCAGTGGGGAAAATACATCTTCAACCTTCAGAACAAAGTAAACCTCTGCAACTTCTTGACAAAATTAGTGTGCAAACTTGCGCAAAAAGAGCAAGCACAGAATAAATCACTGATTATTGGAGAAGGGCTTAAGGACAGAGAAAGATGTGTAAGGTCCACTAGAAGTCGCTTCTATGATAATGCACGCCTTAAGTCAAACAGACCAGCTTCACGACCTCTAAAAGTAAGATTTGCTCAGTCAGAGTTTAATATACTCTGTGTACTGCACAAGCTAAGTGAAAGAAAGAAAAAGGGAACCTCTGTAATTCAAGCTAACTCCAAGTCCAAGGTCACGTTTCAGACTATCAAGAGCTTACGAGTCACGTAGCCTGTCAACACTTCATTTCAAACTCGAAAAATTTAATAACCCACTACATTTATTCTGGAGGCTTTATCATCAAGCTTCACGGCACTCAAAATATAAAACACTTCACATCGACCATATGCATGTTACTGTTTACGATTCCGTGACTTATGGCTGCCAACTTGTTAAGAAATCGAATTTATGCAAAAAGGCATAAATTACTATGACGTCACCGGACGGCATAGTAATGCTCAGGATTCAGACGTCTCTCTCACCCGCGCGCCCCCCAGGGGCTAGGAGTTTGGAGAAGTATGACATTTCAGACTACGCGGGGGCAACAATGTCACATTGTCAAACGTGTTAAGCGAAATAATTTTTCACACAATCCCATCGCTTGTTTAGCAGCATTCTTTGTTCATCAACTTTCACTGAAAAATGTGAATGCTAATCTCTTCATCAGCCTCATCTTCAGTACATACTGCGCTAGAGTGTAAATGGTAATGGACAAAATACAGGCTTTCAAAAAAAGTTGTTCTTAAAAAAAAACAATAAAAAGGCACTTTCCTTTATTTTCAGCAAATAGTTTGTCCTTGTGCGTGTCATGTGAATGCATCAGCATGATCAGTCAAGTGACATTTTTTACCCCTTTCTTATATTGAGCAGTGGGTTAGTTACCATTTTTTAACAACTTTTTAAGAAAGAAATACGAAGTATTTGTAAATGGTGATTCACCCTTCAGCCTCGTTTTCACGCTGGAGCGTAGCCTGCATAAGAAAAATGTGCTGTTTACTCAAAGCCCATATACCATAAACGGTCCTTGAAAAATTGGGGATTAATTAGGTATTGTTCTTCCAAAATCTGGCAAACGTTTTCTGATCCATGGGTTGAATGAAAGGACAATTTTCCGTCCTTGTCTACTGGACTACAACCAGGGTCTATAAAACACTGGTGAGATCATGCTGGCTGTGATTTGAGACCTTGTCTGGGTTAAGATGATCACATCATTGGGTGGTGACATTAAGCCGTTGGCCTTGTCTCCTTCATCCTTCTTTCATTAGAGGAATCACAGTGGACATAAAAGAACCCACACTACTGTTCTAAAAGAGTAGTGGAAGTTTCCCCACTGGTGTGGTCTACCTTTTGCGTATGTGTTCACAGAGTAACCCCAGTGGGGCAGCTTTTAGGCAAACCAAACAAACAATCTTCCGGATTCCCAGTTACCCATTACTCGTTACCAGTTAACTGTTTCTCTTTACCAGCATTTTAGCCCCGCTGCATCACACATCATTCATATCATGGGCTTTGGATGGGTTACAGTAATAAATGGACTGATAGCAGCGGCCAGTGGTGCCCTTATATGCTGACGTCCAAGCTAACTGTTAACATGGTAATACGTATTGTTAAGAGAGTGCATCTTCTTATCCTCCTATCCGCAGCATTCCGTTCCATTCCATATAACAAAGGAGTCTGACGAGCTACATAATCATTCCACTCAAATAACTTTGATTCAATGGTTTAATTCTTATAATCTAAGATCTAATTAAAATTCAAACATGGAGAGCTGCCATACTTACAAAATGTACGTCAACACTCCAACTGCCCTAAAAAATAACCCAAATATCAAATCACTAACAATTCTATATGCAACATAAGTACTTTAAAATATTGCTGTAACTTGCTATAAATGCACGACCTTGTCGTTCCAAGTTTAAAATATTGGTAGTTAGGCTGTGTGCAAATGGATGCAACAACTCCCAACAAAACAGTGTTGGAAGAGCTGTGCAAACGCATCCAACATTGTTTCGCTACGCTTCGGCGATCACAGAACAAAAGAAATGTTGGGAGTTGTTGGCTGAAGAGTTTGACCAGTTGCAAACTTTGCGCAACAACATCCAACAGGGTGTGCAAACGGACGCAACATGTAACATCTAACAATGTTGGGAGTTGTTGGCCAACAATGTTGCATCCGTTTGCACGCGGCTTTATGGCAGTACAACCACAAGACTAGATAAAACAGAAACGGACTGAAAAAAGAACTGAATAAATAGGAGTTCATAAATGTCTTCATTCCTGCAAAGTCTACACATAACGGTTACAACGAGATAGCACCCAACCAGGAATTAAAGCAGGTCATCCTTAAATTCACCCAGTACAAAGAATTCATCGCACAGCAAAGTTTAAATTTCTTTTGCTTGTGATTGAGCATATGCTTGTTGCAAGATGGGAGGTCAACCATCGACACGTTCAGTTTTTCAGCTGTTTTCTATCCAAGCAGAGGATAAACGGGAGTTAAATCATGCGCATTGATTCAGTGGCCCACAGGTTGGTAAGGAAACTACTTGCAGATTGCCTTGGACCCACATTTAAAACTCACGTGCATGTTCGCAGTTTCATGAATAAAGGCCATGATGTCACAAATGCCACTAAATTACCAGCGCTCTCGTTTCACCTGGAGAAATTGCGGTTGTACACCTAGCGTGTATGTATGTAGCCTGCTAGCAAGTTTTCCCTTTGGGGGAGTCGTGAGAAGCCATGCGAAAGCAGAACGCAAAAGGAGACACAAGTGTAATGGGCAGGGAAAGAGAGGAAGAATTTTCTTCCTCGCACTATATAGATCTTCCCAATTTCTGTTAGTGTCGTGTTTCTAAAGGTGCGGCAAAAATTCACGGCGGATCAGCCAGGAGTTACATGTCTCTTTCAGGAACCCACTTTAGGCCGCAAACTCTCTACAAATCAGCCGAATGTTGAAAATTTAGTTATTTGCTAGTTTTTAAGTCATGTTATGAAGGTGAGCTGCAGAGCCTTGCATTACGAGGTAACTTTGTAAAAATCTAGGACTTGCATTTAAAACTCATTTTGTAGAAGTGTCATTTGTAATCATGATTCTGACTTCTTTTTATGTTCGGTTTTACTAAAATAAATCTATTATTTCATTATTATTTTTATTTTAACGCCGTTAATCAAGAGCGTAAATCGCTCCGCAGCAAGTACTTGGCCCCAAAAGTTGACAATCTCAAGTCTACCAAGCCCTCGCAGTGGTGGAATGCTGTCAATCGGATTGCCGGAATGGTTCCCTGCGCCAGTTCCGACAGCATTCTCTCCAGTTTACGCTCTCACGTGGAAGTATGTGCACGATACGACAATCTCCCAAACCATACCCCGCGGCCCCCTGGGTGATGTGCAACAGCCTGTTATTGCCGTGGAGGACTAGTCTCGGTCCCAGCGGATGCAGCTAAGTGCCGACAAGTGCAAGGAGATGGTTATCGACTTTAAGATCTCTCATAACTTCTCCCCTCTCAAGGTAGACAGAAACGAGCTTCCTGTCACCGACTGTGCGAAGATACTCGGTGTTATGATATCCAGTGACTTCCAATGGAACAATCACATTGTAGATTGCATTAAGAAAGAAAATAAGCGCCTGTATTTCATTGTTCCCTTGAAAAGGGCTCGTGTTCCCCTTAATGACATTGTGAATTTCTATTGTACAACAATCAGACCTGTACTAGAATACTGCGTTCCCGTTTTCCATCACGCACTCCCGGCTTATCTTAATGAGGATATAGAAAGAATTCAGAAAAGAGCGCTTTCCATAATTTCACCTACCATGTCATATCGGGAATGCCTTGACAGTCTAGGCCTGCCAACGCTATATGTTAGATGCAAAGGTCTATGATTCCATTGCTATCAATCCCAAACATAAGTTATACCACCTGCTGCCACCAAGAAAACAATCCAGCTATAATTTAAGGCCTCAAAAGTTATATAATTTGCCACGTTCCCATACGGAACGTTTCAGACGCTCTTTTGTTTATGCTATGTCCCAGGGTTGCGCATAAAGCTCTCAAAGTTTCAGAGAAGTCGACTTTCTTGTAAGATTTTTATACATATTTTTTGGCTTTACCACACAAGGTATTTATATTCATACGATTGTAATTAGTTTTATATTTTAACTAATATTATTTGTAAAATACGCAATTCAGTTTTACGACTGCAAAGTATTTATACAATAAACGATTTATCTATCTATCTGACATAGTTTGTCGACAGTTTAGTCAGCCATTTCGAAAACAGCTCTTAAAGCCTTTTGGACTTGACCACGATGGGCCGGAAGCATTTTTACTTCCGAGTTCAGAATTAAATGGTCACCCGACGTAATTCTGTTGCTCGTTTTTCAGGAATTTGTTTTCTTTTAATATTTTTTGACGGACAATTTCACCTTTTTAGCTTTTCAGATAGCAATACCTATTTAGGTACCTTAATTTTTGTTTAATTTGCAGAGCTGAAACTTCAGGTCTAGTTTAAAGAATCGATCACACCTCTTTCATGAAGAATAATCACATTTTAAATTTGAGACATTCCAGAATCAACTCTTAACAGTTAAAGTTGGGTGTTATTTCAACTGCCAAAACACAAAATCAACGTGCAAACAATGAAAGCCAAAAACTATTTTACACAAGTTATTGCGAGACATTTTTAAGCAGTGTTACTTGAATTTTTAGAACTGATTTGAGATTTTCATGTATTTTCCAACATTAGCTCTTAAGGACGGTGCCCACTGTTGTTACTGTGCACATTTTCTGCGCATGCCAAGGTAGTCGCGCGTGACGCGAAAAAAATGACCAACACGCAGGACGCGCGGATTGGTTTTGTCTCCTGTAAGTCTGGGATGTTCGAGTTATTTCTTGTGGAAAAGATGCGTCGTTTTTCGACAGATGTATATATAAAAATAATTTCTATTTACCTTGTCAGTTCTTTGAAAACCGAAGAAGCATGCCAGTGTTGCTATTTCTACGTATGATCGATCTGACCGAACATTTTATAGTCAAACAAAAGTCAATTCTAAAACATCAAAAGTTATTGCTTCAAGATGCTTGGGTATTAAAAAATCCCTTAATAGGCAAGGATCAGTAAATTAGAAGGAAAATAGCTCTAAGTCCTCTGCTTAATCGAGAAACTGCAAGCTTACCTTTCAGCCGTGTCCTTGATCGCGTTTTACCGGCTAATCGGCTATAAACACTTTCCCGAATATTTCTGTAATTTTGTTAGATTTTATGTAATTATTAACCAGAAGATAGATTTAAACATAGGCGTACGGACCGGGGGGGCGAGGGGGGCTGCAGCCCCCCCAAATTTTGGGCAACTCAGATTTTTTGGGCAGCAAGAGAAAATTTGGGCAGAGCCTCTTTTTAAAGACGTCTCCATGTCAGGAGCCCATCCATGTTTATTTAATTATTTTGAATACCTGAATATTAACCTGAAGTTGGCGTAATAATCCAGTTACATTCACACGAGACAGTAATCGCCTAACATGTGATGAGTAATTTACATATTTATTTTTTTGTTATTGTTGGGCACCGTACTGCACTGCGCTAGCTGGAATGCGCTATCCAGTCGCATAACTTTCTAGAATCATCTCCACTCGAAGAAGAGGGTGGGTCTGAAGACGGAGGAGTGGCTGACTAATTCTCACTTTGAATTACGAGAAGAATCTTAATTCTTTTAAAAAATCTATCGCTAATTTGTTAAAGTAGACCGAAATGTTTACAAAACCGCTAAGTAGAGCGCACTAATCAAATCCTTCTTTCTAGCAATCGGGCAGAGCTATCTCCACGATCCTTCACATACGTGAAAACTACTATGAGGTGAAATTGTATGTCAAAAGCGCTTCGTTTTCTACAGATAACGGCCAAACCTCACGATTTTCCTTTTCTTACCGTATTTTTAACGGTAAAAACTTCATCCCAAACTATCTCGATAAAGCTCTTACATATTTTGCTTAAACTTTGCAAACATTGAGAAGACCGTATTGGCGAAAAAAGCTCCTGTGAACGATTTTGTAAGGTTCCCAGTGCCGAGAATTTTTAATTTTGCTGAAGTAAAATAGGTAATGGCGTGATTTCGATGCTATGACAACTCCGATGTCATTGCAACCCTGATCATGACAAATTTTCGTCTACTGTGGTGGCAATTTTTCCTAATGTTTGTTTATGGCGACGTAGTTTATGCTCAAACTTGGCATTGACCCTGAAAAACTGTATCGAACCACCTTCATAAGCCAGCACGGCCTGTGTTGTTGCAATATGGCCCTCGTTTCTTTTCGACTCTTTTGTAAAAATTTGGGATACTTGCGAAAATTTTTTGGGCAAATGGCTTACCGCCCCCCCTGGCAAAAAATTTCCCGTACGCCTATGGATTTAAAGCGTTCGAGTACATACAGATGTCCCTTTTATTGAGAGTCCGAGGCTTTTATTTGTTGAACAAACAAGAAAAAAACTATCACAAGATTGTTTGGATTGCTGACATCTTAGCTTCACAAATAGTTGCGGACCGCAAAGGAAACAGTTTCACCGTGGAAAAAATGATAAAAAAAAAATTGTTATGCTCTTTACTATTATCACTGTTATTTAAGCATTTTGGCATTACTAAGCATTGAAATTATTGACTCATTTGGCAGCTTGTCGTGTAGATAGTATTTTTTAAGTTTCAATTTCACGCCACACATAATCTGGATGTTTAGACATAGCTACCATTTGACTGTTTACAAACTAAAGATGGAAGGTAAAATAAAGTATTTCCATTCTAAGACTTTCTCAGGTTTAACAGACACTGTTAAGTCTAAAATTAACATTTAGAAACGAAAAATAGTGAATGATCATGACACAGAATGCTACAGTGAAAAAAATTAAAACGAAATTTCTAAAATGATCATTATAGCCCAGTGCATATATGAGGGTACATAAACGCATTCGGTACAACTACTTTCGCAGTATTCAGCTTTTTTAATAGAGAGCTCATGTATGGAACTTGAGTCTATGCAAATCATTTATAGGTCATATGACACTTGTGGCAAAGCCTCATTGCAGGCTCATTGCAGGGGCGGATCCAGGATTTTTTTTAGGAGGGGGTGCACTCGTCTCTTGCTCTACTTCAACACCAATAAACCACATAGTTTTTTTTGGCAGAATACCAGCTGTATTAGAAAACCGCAGGTCATCTCGGGGGGGGGGGCGCACCCCCTGCACCCTCCCCCTAGATCCGCCCTTGCATTGAATTTATGCAAGTTTAATAACATATTCGTTCGAAGTACCCAATACAATGATAAAAAAACGATAGAAGGTTTACAATCCATATTAAATCTACAGTTCCAAAAATCTTGAGGACATGTACAGGTAAGCAAACGATTGAAGGAGTACCTGTCTTAGAGTCCCTGTCAACTATTTTCCACTACAGTACAGTAGTTTGTTTACGGCATCAGCTGTGGCCATGGATCTTGAGCTCGCCATACTACTCTATGTGCGCTGCAAGTAATCTCTAATACCTTGCTCTTCTCCAAAACTTTTGGTTAAATGTTTGAGACGGAGAAGCTCCGGTTGAATGAAATAGTATAATTTGTTTTCCTTAGAGTCCATGAAATGTCCTGCATCACTTTCTGTTTTTGCTCTCCTCCGTCTGTTGTTGTTTTCTCTGACTGTTAGCCATTGTGGATATCGCAGAGTACTCCGCGTTGAGTGAAGCAATAGTGAAACTGACCAGGGAGTGGATGGGGAAAATTGTAAATAGTCCCCAAAGTAATTAAGTTAAGGTCGAAACCAACCAATTTAACTTCTAAAAACGCATGGTAACCCCTACTTTTTACCTTACAAAATGAAAGTAATAAGCCTACTCAGCAAACTATCAATTTTTGGTTCGGGGAAAATGTCGTTTACACTATTTTTGAGACAAACGCGTGGAGAGGGGTGACTGCTGATAACTTTCCAGTTGTGCTGATATTTCAAAAAAAGACGTATAAAGAGCAGTTGTTATGTTACCATTTGTTCCCTATTTTGAAACCTTGTTACAATTGTCATTGCATTTGTGCCAGTTCACGTGTACACTCTGAAATTTTGGGAAAACAAAGAACGTTTTATCGTTTTTCTCCACATTGAAGCGCAGTTATCTCTGAAAAATGCATGGTTACACCCAGTTTTCTTTTTTGATTTCAATAGCCCCTGATATGATCTACTTGTCTCACATAGTCATTATCTGGGAAAAAATACTTCCCATTAGTGGGCACCGTCCTTAAGACACAAAACGAATTATAACAACCTTTTCCTTCGGTTCCCCCCCAAATTGGTTGGCCCCATTAATAAACATTCTTCCCCCTGACTTACCCTTTTTCATATTGCCCAATCTAACCATTCTCTTCAATTTCTCTTGGGGAGACAGTTTAACCCGGGAGAAATTTGAAACAAAAGTTATGTATAATTGTGGGCTAAACAAATAAGGTATATTTTGGGCAATGTGAAAATGGTGAACTTTTAGAGTAGCTCTAAATAGAGAATATTACACGGTGGCGCGAAGATATGAGTTTTATTTTCGAGTGGCAAAACAATATTTTACGAACCAGCGCAGCGAGTGAGTAAAATATTGTTTTTGCCACGAGAGGGAAATTATATACCGAAATAACGTCATCGATAAACTAACGTGTGAGATTATGGAAAATAAACCACTCGTCTCGGATGTAGTTTTTATGAATTTTAGGACTGGTATATTTTCCAGTAAAACACTCGTATCTATATAATAAAAGCTAATAATTAACTCCAAGAAAGAAAAGCAATGGTACAAAAGAAAGAAAGGAAAACGCTTTCGTTTTGACAGATGATTAAATTTGTATGTGGTGCTTATGGAGCCAAGAGCTTGTGGTATCAATGAAAAAGTTGTGTGTTGTTTGTATCTTCAAGAATATATTATGCTAACAGAAATATCACAGAACTGCTGAGATTTAACATAACTTCCTACCCTATATTGTCACTTTTGCATGCAACAAGTACTATTTTAGTAACAGTATGCAATTTACAGCAGAGTTTATCATACTATAGTCATAAAATCACGTTCTGTACTTAAACTTACTCCTTGTATTAAATCACTGCCCAAGTTTTAAAACCAGACAGTAGAGACTACTGTCTGCAGTTTAAAGTGATGTGTTTTAAAGCAATATGAAATTCATCCCCGGGAACAATGAGCTCAGCAACTCTTTGCATGTCCCTTGTCAGATTTGTTCACAGAATTTACACTGTTCTTTTAAAGAAGGATAAGATGGCCTTTTTTTGTACATGGCACGGCCATGACTAAGTTGTCAAAGGAGGGAACTTTCCAAAATTTGAAATCCTCAGCAGAAAAAAAAAATAATTTAAACGCCGAAAACTGACTGCAAACTGTGCTTTATTTTAAAAACCTCAATTCTTAAATGCCTCTACTGTTGGCTTCAGACCTTTACTTTCTGTAATACCCCTTACCATAATTATGTTACCTCACGTGTCACTTCAAAGGTGCAAAGACCAATGACTGAGTATTTATGAGGCTTTAACTCTGCAACTTTTTGCGCACACTTTTGGTGGAAAAATTGAGATAATAGATATTTAAAGAACACTTACCACATATCTGTTGCTGTTCCCACAGGCTCGTAACTGATAACTTCAGGGGCTATTTGAAACAAGAAATGTAAACTAAGATGATTCCCAGTCATTGAGAGTTCCAGTTAAGGGAGAATGAGAGAAAACAACAGGATATTAGAAAATTAACTAGTCTTTTCTGTACATATCTGGTTGCTATCGAAACTCACTTACATATGGACTACTAGTAGCTTAATCAGGATTGTCATGAAAAATAGAAAAAACGGCCATGACACACAAGGAAATGACACAGTTCAAGAAAACCGAATGGCTAGCAAAATGTGCAGCATAAACATACAGCTAGGGAGCATAGGTGAGATGCTGGAATAAATTAACTGTCATTGTGTTAACAATACTCCTTACAGCTTTGCAGCCAATGTATTGCTGTAAATCCTCTAGTAAGCTCCCCTCTCCAATAAGCCTCCTCCCTCTAATAAGCTCCTCCACTTTTAAGGGAAGAAAATTAATAAGCCCCCACTCCCCACCCCTAATTATTCTACACAAATAAATGATAGACTGTATTAATCAATCACGACCATAAAACTTCGTGTGGACTGATCTGGGATGGTTTATTTACCAACTGGAAGTTTGGACTTGATTCTGATTCTCGGCTGCATGACCTAAAACTTTTTGTCTTTGAGCTTTTCCACTATGTATTCTAGTCCTTTATGGAGAACTGACACCATTGTCGTTTCTAAATTAAATAAGTCCCCCCCCCTCAAATGGGCTTGAAATAAATATGCCCCCCTCCCGCGAGGGGGGGGCTTAATAGAGGATTCATGGTATGTGGAATGTTCTGAGGTACCTATCATTTACATGGGTTGGGTCATTCCATTTGAAAAACTCACAACAAATGCTTAGCCTAAACATGGGATCAGGTTTGGCAAATGATAAGCACCCCAGAGTGAAGAAGGAATTAAAAGAATGTAATGTCACTGTTCCAAGTATGGGCTCAAACTATATGCAAGTATTTCAACATAATGTTAGTTAGAGTAAGGACCACCAGACAAATCTGGCGTAATTTAGGCGGACTGCTCAGTGACAGGTATGGCATATGTGACTTCTGTGCATGACCATTTTAAGGTCTCAGTTTCCTGGCAATAAACACAAAACTTATAACAATAATGTGCTGCTACAGCAGCAGCACTATGAGCTGAAACCTAGGCCAACAATATGTAAACCTAAAAAGCTAGGCACAGGGCTTGAAAAAAGTCTCGTCTGGTCGTTCAGGACAAGCAGATTTTCTTCTGAACAGGGTGCAAAGAAAGTCAGTTTTACTTACAGCTTGTCATTCGGGCAAGCTGAAGCTAGTATTTACTAGCCCGAATTTCACTTGCCCAAAGGGCAAGGGTCTAAGCAAGTCATCTTCTAGTCTTCTTCTATTTTTAATTGTACTTAATTATCACTATTATTTCTTTTCAATTTAGTTTGTCATATATGTAGGGCCTCTATGGATAGCAGTTTTTATCTTGTAGACAAACTGAAGGAGTTACCCTATTGAAATAAAGGTTTCTATCTATCTAACTAAATCACCAACTAAGACGAACAAGAAGTGGCCGAGGGCAAGCAAAATCTGAGAGCTTCTTGCCCAAAGGACAGGATGGAATTCAAATTTTTCCAAGCCCCGTGGGTATGTGAAAACAAGTTCTTGTGCATCCCCCACTTCACCAGCACTGCTGGGTTGGACTGGAATATTGGCAGGTTGATAAACCAAAAAAATGGTAAAATAAGCTAGACTTAACTGCAGCAAGCCATGTGAGCAATTGATGCGAGCCATCGTAAATAAGTCAACAAACAAATTTTAACCATCATGGGCAGTTGGTAAGCAGCAAAGGGGGGTGTAACAAGATTGTCATGTGGTGCAACGTCATCAAAACTTAAAAAGTATTTATCACCGCAAGGAAACACCTGCAGGCAACCGAACTTGGACAAAGTTAACTTTGGGGCTTCAGGGGTTGCAACGTGGTATGATCTCATTGATGACATCGTCAAAACTTACAAAAGTATATATCTCTGGAAGGAAACACCGGCAGACAACCACACTTAAAAGAAGCTAACTTTGGGCCTTAAGGGGTTGCAATGTGGTATGACATCATTGATGATGTCATCAAAATTTAAAAAAGTATATTTCTGTGGAAGGATCACCTGCAGACAACTGAACTTGGACAAAGTTAATTTTGAGTTCATGCGTAAAATTTATGCAGCATCTTGAAAGTTGTTTACTTTGACAGCTGAAGCTGACAGAGTTTTGACTCAACTTGTGATGTTTTTAACTGTTTTTTTTTCCACTGGGTGTACAAAATGAAATACAGCTGCTATCAAGAGTGTTCTCTTATTCATGGCTGGTTTGTTTATTGGGTTTTTGGTTGAGAAATGCGTCCCTTGTCAAAGCCGATAATCCAATTTCGGATGGCATCGTTTTTGTTTTTCACCTTGCTGGATGTGTTCGAGAATTATAAAGGCTCAAGCGATCCTTTCCTTACTTGCATCTCGAAATATGGTAGGCCTGAGTAACTATTGTATTTAAATATAATTTCATGAAGTCCAGCGGTGCAGTTTATGAAGCTATGGACGTTTAATTTGTATTAAGATTTGACTAGACAGTGATCTTACCTAGTATGAGGTTTGATATAAGCTTAAGCTTACAGAACTTTAAAAAGCCTTTAGTCGATATTAATTCACCGTAAATAGAAAGAAAAAGCTTTCCGAAGAATATTTAGTTATCATTTTGGCTGTAGAAAGAAAGCTTTGAGCGATTTTCTTGTCGTGAGTTCATCTTTGAAAACAGCAAACACCAGGAAACCGGCGGCTTAAAACATAAACTTCATCTTTAAGCTTACTAGTAAAGTCTTGAGGATTCTTAGAGACACTTAAATATTCATTTGTTTTCGGGAATGAAAATTGTTGTCTCTGTAAATGTTCTACTGAATTATATTTCTTTATTGATTGTTGGTAGTCTCAAAAGTGAAATTTTCATCGCTTTGCCGTTTGTTTTCAGCCGTTCATAAACATCGCTTGCAGGAGTACTCAAAATTCCAAGTGTATCAAAAAAATAGACTCAATAAATTCTTTATCACGTTGAAGCGTAACTCTTTTAAAATTTCTTCGCAAATTTGGCGCTTGTCAAAAGTTAGAACCGGCTGGCCGTATAGGTGATTTTGGAAATTTTTTGAACAGTTTCGTTAATTAAAAGTCCACACGTGCTTCAATGGTCCTGAAATATTGAATGAATGCAATTTGTCTTGACAAATTGTGAAATACTGCATTATTGTTCGAGGTCTGTATGATAAAAACAACGCCTCGTAGTACTCTTTCTCCTCAGATGTGGTGTATAAAAAATATAAAAGATAGGTTTGCACGCACCCAGATTTATTGGCAAGAATTTGTAAACGCTTGTCGAACGCAAAAAATTCGGTCCGATTTGTTTTCCAAGAATTTGTTTTCCACACCTCATCTACTGTGATCAAGAGCCATTATTGCTCTTAAATGTGACCGAAGACTATTTTTTGGGTGTGACCTCGATACTGATTTGTTTCACTCCAAAATCACTTAGCTTTTCCCTCAAAAGTCACATGAATGTACCCTTAAGTTAACTGATTTGTGGAATAAAAAATTATTGTTTGATTTAAGTTATAAATTTATCAATGGGAGCTTCGCTTTTAGCTGTGGCTAAAACTATATATTATTTACCTACAAACTCCGGAGTGCCCATGATAGCTTTAACAATGTCTCCTGGTACTATAATCCTTGCCAGGCCAAAGTCAATGAGTTTCACCTTTTTCTGAATCCTGTCTTTCAAAACAATGTTCTCTGGCTAAAAACAGCATTAAATGTAATGAGTTCACCTTTATTTATAAGCATATTTTTGAAAAAACCAAAACCACATGTTTAAAAGTAAGGAATAGTTATTACAGCAAAAAAAGCCTGCAATACAACCTAAAAGTACACAATTTCATAAATGCAGAAAAAGTGCACTGGAAAAGCTGTTTGCATAAAAGCAACACATTCCCATTGCATTACCAGAGTATTATGTACGTTATTAAGTTATGGAAACCAACATGGCAACTGCTAGCAGCTAGTGCAAGACCTTTAAGCTTGCTTGGTGGTTAGAACATTGCATATGGTAAACAAAGTAGAACCCAACTGACTCAAAGAAAGAAAAAGAGAAAAAATATATCATGAAAAGTATACATTCCTCTGGAATAATTTTCTAAAACTAGACCTGAAAGAAAGTCCTCTGGTTGGCCATACACCATGCAACAAGAGGTCTTTCTCTTGCTCCAGGGATGGGACAAAGAGACACAATAACAATGAAAGATGATCTGCATCATGTTTTATAATCCAAGGTCAAGCAGATCAATAAGTACCTCAAAGTGCTGAGTCCCATCTCAACAAGCTTAGGATTCACCAGCACCTTTAATTTGAAGCAAGCTTTAACAATCTAAGTGATCATTGATTATATAATTGTCAACTGGTCATTCCAAAGGAATGCACCTTTTTTCCATGTTAGAAAAGTCTGAAAAAAAATGTCCCAGATCTTGTGAAATTTGGGCACCTCTGCCGAGTATCAGTCATCACTGTCACCCGATACTCAGTCGACATGTTGGTCGACACATCGGCTAATACTCGGTTGACATGTCAGTGGACAATCGGTCGACATGTTGGCTGACTTATTGCCCAACAATCACCTGATGTGTCAGGAAGTATATCAGCCACATCAACACTTGATTGGGTGTTGGCCAACATGTCGCCACACATACACAATGGTGAGACTTAGTGGGTATACCAGTTGACAAGTGGTCAATACGGAAAGTGTCAAGTGTCATCAGGATATTTGAGGACTGTTGGTAGCATATGGTTCGACAGTTGTATTCTCTGTTTCCACTGTCACACCATAAAATATAAACATACAAACCAATCAATTCATACAGTACAGAATACATGTGTAGTTCCAGAAAATATCCAGACCTCTACCACAAAGGGAATTTCAAATAGGACCCCCCACCCCTTCGAATTTTCCTTTTCTACAAGGAAATTTTCACCCCCAGCCCTCAGGAAATTCCATAGAAATATCGCCCATTCCCCATACCCCCTAAAAGGTTTTTTCTTCCTTTAAAAGGGTTCAAGAGTTAATCAAACACTGAATCCAAAGACCGCGTGTCCGATAGGCATTCACTGGTTAATTTATTTTAAAGATGATCGTAAGGCTGCATAAAGAGGACGACATAAATTGGCTTTAAAAAAACATATTTAAGGTGATTCCCTAGTTTTGCACTACGTATCTCTTACTGCACATAACAAGATGGCCTCCGTAGAAAAGAGCATGTGAAGTAACATTATTAAAATGGAGTTGACCGAAGAGAAACGCTATTGTAATTTTTGCTTGCGGTTGTTTCTGGCCGAGGTGAGACTCAATGTGGTGGGAATGTGCATAACGTAAGCAGTACGCGTGTTGCTGAGTTCGACTTCCTCACGGAGAGCCTCGATAGTGGATGTTTCACTTGTGCTTACTCACTTTGATTTTCATTTAAACACCTTCTTTATCACATTGTGTCCTAAATGTGATATCTCAATGTAAATTCTGTAAAAACGGATTTTTGGATACTTTCTTCCCCCTTTCGCATACATTCTATTTTGAAACTCACCCCAGTCCTCTCTCAAAAATCGAGGAAAATGTATTTGGTGCGCACTTTCTGCAGCTCTACCGTAAAAACGAGTACGGTGACCCCCATCTTTTATTTCATGATTTTAATAAGAACAGTGCTTCCTTTCGGCAAGAAAAAAATTGGCACAAATCTATGTTCAGTTTTTTGGCAATTTTACTAAATTGATCGGATTGAGCTATCACGTGTCGACTAGCGCGTGTCCAATTTAATTCTACTTTGGAGCGTAAAGTAAAAACAAGGGCATTAAAAGGCATTTTTCTGGTACGTATGTGGATAAACAATACATTAAAGTCAAATTCGGTGCGATACCACATGCATCATTGAAAAATCTTTCCTTTTTGTCTAGTTTTTGTCAAAGGGTCCAAAATAGCCGTATTTGTCAGCATTGTGACGTCAAAACGAGCACGGTGACCCCCACTTTTTATTACCTTTTTATCATCTTCTTGACTTGTTACACAGAATAGAATATACATAGCACTATGTAAAAGCTAAGAAACTTGTTGGAAATAAAAGTGAAGATCGAAATGCTATGTAAAAGCTATTTTACTTTGATGCATAGTGAATACATAGGATGCTGATCGGAAGGAAAAGCAGAACTTTCTATTGCATAGTAAATACATAGCTATGTCAAGACTATGAAAAGATTTTGAATAGTATTTGCATAGGTATTCAAAAGCTATGTGCTTTTCAAATAGCCTGAACATAGTTTCAACATAGATTTTGCATACTTTGGACTATGTTGTTTGGTGTGTTACATAGTTAATACATAGGCAGTAGTGAACATAACATAGCTGAAACATAGTCCAACATAGTAAACAAATAGCATGAGCATAGGTTTTGCATATGTCTGGTTCTACAAGGGTAAACAAATTGTTAAAGTAAAATAAATATCTGCTCACCAAACGTTGATTAGAAGGAAAACTCTAAGGTTTCCTCGGAGTTTCTTAAGCCAAAATGTGACTCATCGAATTCGAGTAGTTAAGAAATACCAGGATTTTTATCACGGTGGTAGATGGTTGCATCATCACAATTGACAAGGTTTTCATGTGCGATTCTACTCAGTGAAACAGTCTTTAACTCTGACAACTTATTTCTTCATGTTTTAAAAGCTATACTGCTCCTTAAAAGACAAGAGCCTTTTTTAAATCATTGGTTACAAAACGAATGAGGTCTAGCTAGGTCTTCATACGTTCAAGTTACCACTATTATTGTGAAAAGCCAATCTGCTTGAGATGAACAATCACACAACTGGTACGTGAAAGTGTCGGACTTTGCCCCCTTTCTTTGTTCGTACATGAGGGAATTTGAGTTATCCCACAGCAATCTAGGAAACAGAATCATAAAAATAACTCATGCACACAATTTGCTCATGAAGATGTTGGTCTTTGGCCCTTTTACAATTCGTACGTAAAAAAGGAGCAAATTGTTTACTACAAAATTTTCTCAAACGATTTTAAGAAAAATATCACCTCGGCTTCATTACAACATCTGCAATTAAATTATGTTTCCTGCAACGTCAAGGTCGATAGCCTAAGATTTATTAACTTCCAAGAACATTATCAAACTGCCGAAATATATTTCTGCTCATATCATGTTACTCCACTCAGTAAAACAGTATCTAATTATTGTGTCAACTAGCTTCTTCCAATTTTATTCCCTAACGCGTAACTGTTTCTACTCAAGTTACGCATCTTTACTTAGTATAAATAAAACACGTTTCAATAACTATATAATGCTTAGTATGCAGGAAGGATGTATCATGTTGTTCACTTATTATTCTTTTTTTTTGTTTTGCCAGAATGAGAAAGGTTTGTTTAACTTTGTACTCGAGAGAGTAATATTTCTAAATATATATATATGTGATGGCTGGTCACGGTAAAGCAGGGTAAAGAGAGTTTCTCAAAATATTGCGACGGCTCTGACTTGGATCTTCGTAGAGTGTCCAGGAAAGCCAGAACGATCCAATGTGTGGCACATGTACGTGGTCGAGGAAAGGTGCAAATGGACTTCGCAACTGAAGGACAAACTAACAACAAATGGTGGCTAAGCTGGTTAAGCGGAAGAAGGATCAATCGAAGAGGACTAAGTAACTTTAGGCATATCTTAAGGAGATGATGCATAGCAGGCACCGAAAATTTTACACAGGTTAACTGTAAATTACTTGGCATAATAAAATTACTGTAACTGTTCGCTTTCGTGCAAACTAGCCGAATAATGACCAGATGTGAAATAGCAGAACTTTTATAGCCTGCAGACAGTGTCTCAAATCTCGACCAATAGATACAGCTGTACCAGTAAGCTACCTAGTCTTACCATGATAAAAGCTTAGCCATGAATAGGGCCTTGGAAACAGGGACCAATACTCAGAAACATACGATGACAAACATTCAACAAATTAGTAAGGTTCCAGCCATGCAGAACATCTTTTGTTTGCATCTTAAAGAATGGCGTATGTTCTTTCATTTATGAATAAGGCTTTAAAGACAAAACCGAGCATACATTGGGGCAGGCTACCTTAGCCTACCCCTCCTGGGGCTGCATGTTCCACTAACTGCATGCATTTACCATCTGGTAAAAGTCTTATTGACGTTTTTTTCCTTGTGATAAAAAGTTCTCAGCTTTAAAATGAACAAAGGTTTAAGCCCCATTCCCACCGTACTGAAGCTTAAACATGTTTGAAAGCTGTTTAGTTAAACATGGTTTGACTTTTCTTACTTAAACTGATTGCAAATTTATTGTATGTTGCATTTCATTTGAATCCTGTTTGAAACCCTGTGTTCCAGTTTCCCATGTCTGTTTTTCATTTTTTAAAACCTGGTTTAATTAAACATGTTTAGTTGGTATGAATGGGGCATTAATCTCTGTTACATTCTAACGGGGTGTATAACACAGCACTTCAGTATTGCCTTTTTTTTCCTACAACAACAAAGTAATTAAGTAGTTGTTACCTGGTGCTACTGTATACTGTTTGTGACAAATTAGGGACCTTATAAGCATCGACAACGAAACGGACGACGACGACTCTTTGCAACCAAATTATGCAGACTGGGTCAAGGGTTTTGTTTTCGGATGGGGAAAACGAAGTTTAAGCAGTGCAGCTTCTCCGACAGACGACGACTTTTTCTTTGCGAAGAACTTTGTCTTACTACAGTCTTGTTATGGCATTTAAAGACCTCGGTAATTTGCATCTTATAAGCTATGACGATGGTTTAATTGAGGATGGCGAATGACCACGATTATTCGATTTAGGAGGCTATACATATTTCTCTTCGTCACGCAGCTTTTGTTTTTGTTTTGAAGTTAAGTAATGGTCCGTGCAAGAGGTAGGCAGGCGAATGGCAAAAGCAATTAAAAGGTTCAATTAGATCAAGCATTCTGATTGGCCGAAGTCCAAAAATTACCCAAAAAACAGTGTGAAATGTGACAAAAACAACTTTTTTTAGCTTTATTTTCCCTACTCCCTTGTCTTATACCTCACGGCCAAGTTTCAGCATTGTTCTATGCGCCAATCAAAAGTTAGAGCGGAAAACGTGCAACACATGCATGACCTTCCTTGTTGTGACCCCATCTTAGATGTGACACTTGAGATGTTAGGAAATTTGTCTTTTACCCGAAGAAATCTCATCAATTCCTTCGTTAAAAATCTGCTTTTTTTCTTTATTGAATATTTATTTCAACTTTACTGTCTTTTACCATCGGAATGATTGTCAAAATGCTCTTTAACATGGTTTGCTGCCGTCCTCGACGTGCTGAGTTGCCATGTCGAAATTTGGGTCCAGCGTAGTCGTTTCCGTTGTCGGGCCGGATCAGGAGGAGATCGGAATGATTGTGGCGCTAGGAATTAGAGTACAGTTGAGCATAAAAAGAGAAAGCAAAAGATTTGTTGTTTTTACTGAGATGAATTTATTTGTCGAAGAGATGTAGAACACTTGAGCTTGAGGTAAGCCGAACTCAATAGATTTGCGCACCTCATGCGCATTATGTGTTATTTATTTGTGTTTGCCCTTTTCGAAACTTCCATATTCCGTGTATCTATACCCATCTCTCATTCGATTTTTTTTTCTCTCTATATAGACTACTTCATTAAGTGAAATGGACGTTCACTGTGCACCTTAACTGAACTGAAATTTGTGACACAAGTTTGCATTTTGTACCCTTGAGTTCTGAGACGGAAGCCGCTTAGGTATCATATAAATAGATGTCACTGGTGTTTGAGTTCCTCTTGGTTTGACGCAAGATCTAGCGAACATGACTAGCTAGCTGTAGCTTGCCTTTATTTTTTTCCAAGGAAGAGAGAGATTGTAAGAAGGATTTTTATAGGGTAAATACATGTATCAAAACCTTGTAAACATAAACTGTAGGAGAGCTTTCTGAAACCCGATTCTCTGAACATGCCGGAATTCTTTTCTTTCTGGGCAACATCATCGTTTCTTCCAAATGCAGAACATTTAGATAACATTTAGATTTGATTTTGTGTACTTGTTGTTGTTCTGTATGGTGGCCAAATATGAACGCGCGACATTGGTGCGTTCACCAGATTTGCCACGTGAGAGTGAATTGCTGCTGTTTTTGATCATGGTTTTGACATTTCTTTTGTGAGAACAGACGTAAATGTTGTTCACAACGTCGCTGATTGATGTAACACTGTGTTCATCTTCATGTAATTTAATATCAGTTTCACTTCCTCGGGATTGGCACATAGAAATCTTTTATATTTTAGATATGTCATATTTTTCAACACAACAAAGCAATAGACGAAATAAAAAGTTGTTCGAATGAGTCTTAAGCTATCTTAATTCAACTCTAAAATTCAAATTTCGTGCTTTTTGCTGCATTGACCAATCAGAGCATTCAGATTGAATTTGAATACAGAAATTAGCACCTGAAAAATAACTGATCGATGCTATTGCCGCGGGCTATTGTTTTTCTGCCTGCTTCTTAGCTGGATCATTACTTAAAAGTGTATACCGATCTTGATCAGCTCTAGACTTGCAGTTACTCTAAATTTCGGCTGCTGAAGAGAATTCAGTGCTGCTACAATGTTGGCCCATACTTGTCCTCTCTCAGGGCTCCTCATAGCCACATCATGTTCCAGAGTCCACTGGAAAATAGTTGCCTTTAATTTACTAGCAGCTAAAACCCCCATGAATAATTTTCGTTAAAAAAATGAACATTTATCTTATAGTTTGTAACAACCTAGAATGCATGAGTGAACATTAAGACCATAAGGAAATGAACAGCATCTAATCTAAAAGGTTCGGGAGATAGCAGAGGAAAGCTTACTTGTCTTTCTGACTAGTTGTTCCGCAATCATTCAGAACCGAAACCGAACCTGAAAAATAAATTCAATTAAGTTAGCAGGCAAAGAAATCGACAAAGTGTTTATAAAATAAACATTTGGATTCTGCTAGTCCACAAAGAATATATTTCTACCTGTAGTGAATGAAAAGGAGGAAAAAGAGTAATTTACATGAAAAAAGTATAGTTTTATACTTACGTTTTAGCGAAGACGGTAAACCTCCCTCAATTTCGTTGTCGATGAAGGCTGGATGACGTTTTGACAACCTTATGCATGCCCAGAAGGTTCAAGCGGGAAAGTTTCACTTCCAGTCGGTGCCATTGTCCCGTTTCGTCGTCGATGCTTAAGGCCCCTATTATCAAGAACTGAACCAAATTTTTTGTTTTGTAAGGGCTCTGCATTATACACTGTTCCCCGGCTAAGAGCCAAATTCTGTCAAGAGGAGCCTAACTTAAATGTAAATATTTGGGTTATTCTAATCTCATCCCAAACTATTATTTTGTTCTGTTTTACAGTAGGCTCTTGTTGCAGATGTTTAAAGGTTTTCTTAAGGACAAATTATGCTGTCGGCAAAGCCCCAGTTACGTTCAAGCTATATACAGCACAATCTTTAAAATAAAACAAAAACTTGGTCGTCATTTTCATCGTATCGTTGCACCTCTCCACAGTACCATCCAGGAACCCAGTTGGTCCCTTCAAGATCTTTCTAAGTCCAAAGAACATCGACAAGTACACCAACATGTGAGAGAAAATTAGGAGAATCACCACTATCTTTTAATTTCGCTGGTTGCCTGCGTGCAGACGTCACAAAGGAAATAGGAGACGTCTGCACGCAGGCAATTTCGCTGGCAGCTTCCTCTTTCTTTCAGATCTTCGAATGTTTTCAGTGAATTCATTCAACCTACCTTTTGAAATTTTTGCACTCAGTTTTTCCTTTTTGGTAGGATAGGTTGTCTTTTCTTTGAAAACATTTAAACACAACTTTTCCTTGTTTTCTAATGGCAAACACTTTTTGGATCATGCATTGACAAATTTCCGTTGATTGTAGGTTTGCTGTACTTCAACAAACCTTGCAGGACACAACTGGTTTTGGTGGTCAGTGTTTCAGTTCTGCCATGCGCAAACGATCTTGTGCGCTAATTTTGAGAATACGAATGTGGCTTGATTTCGAGAAATTTCCCTACCTGTTGCAATGAAATGAAGCATACATAAATGTTCACGGGAAAAAGTTGCTTCTTGGTGACCTGCCTTGAGTAGTTTAACTCAATCAATTAACTCATCTTTTGAACCAACCTCCACAATGTCATGGGCTCAAAGAATGGCTCTTAAATATGCCACGTACCCATAACTTCATTAGCCCTGCTGTAGTTTTAGGTAACGAAGAAATATTTCCATGATATGCAGGCCCATAGCCAGTGTTTTTTATGACGAGGTGCAATTCAGCGACCAGATGGACCGAACAACGGTGGGGGGGGCGATAAGTTGTCTGAGGTTGCATTTCGTGTATTTTGAAAACTGGCTATTTCTCAAACTTTTAATCATCAAAAGTATTTTTTTTTTTAAACAGAGTACTTTACTTTATAATTTTCTAGAATGGCGATGCAGGATGTCACTATTTAAAAAGAAAAAAGTAGAAAGAAAATTGTAAATCTGTATTAATTGCTAGACTTCTATCAGATCAATGTATTTTAGATTCAGTGGAAGTGTACAAGAAAGAGCCAGTAAAGACACCCTCTCTTTCTTGTACCGTGAATATATACTACTTTTTGGCCACAGAAAACAGCGGATATTTTAAGCTATTTTCAAAGACAAATTAGGGGCTAAACAAAAAAAGAACAATTCATACCTTCAGCTCTTTAAAAAGAAAAGAGGATTAATAAGATCCATCCCTTGTAATTGGCATGAGCTCATTAGTGGCTCCTGTAATTGGCTGTTTAAAGCAGCCAATTGGACAACAATTATTTCAGATCCTATTAACCCAGTCAGAACGATTGAACTGCTCTGCTGGGGCACTCCTTGCACCCCGTCCCTATGGCCTGATATAGGCCCCTTTCAGAGAGCATGTTTACAAAATTCTCAGCCTCATGCACTGCATTCTACAATATCTATGCTTTACCAGCTTGTATTTCTTTCTGTTAGGATTTAAACAGCGTTTGGTCAACTTTGCCACAAGAGTTGGCCTGCTTTCTGTGTAGAGAGGATGCAACTTCCAAGCCTCTCGTTTTAAATGTACTTCTCTCCGCTGTTGCAGTTGTTTATTTGCACTAAGGTAGAATTACAATGCTTCCTCTTCAGATACCCAGGGTAAGAAGACAACTGCAATTAGCTCATCTTCCAAAGGAGAAGGTAACACTCGAAAGAAGGTTTCCAGTACTCTGTCTGGTAGAAACAGGCCAGGACATTTTATCCCAAGGTCCCCTAGGGAAGACACGCCTTGCCTCATAACTGAGGTATGCAGCTGACCAGTCTCTTCCCATTACTTGTAGTCGGGGAGGGGTTGACGATCGAACCTCTCCAAAGGCTTCCCTGCTGTGCAATCCTTATTTTCGCAGAATATAGACACTGTACTTGTCAATACATGCTGTTGTCGGCGAAAAATTGAATGTAAATTGAATGCCTTTAAGCTGCTCTCATCATTAGAGACAAACCTATGATTTCCACCAATCCCTCAAAAACACTGTATTGGCTCCTTATTAATTACAGCATAGCCTATGCATTGGATTATTTCGCTTGCCACATCTTCCATGTTTTCTTTGGGCTCCTGAGAACCCAGCAATACAGTCTTATGAATTGCTTTAAAGTGTATGGCCATGACCAGACAATGCCCTGTTATATATCAATGGCGTGAACCGTTTCTACAAAGTTCCTTTCGCTTAGATATTCTGCAAAAGCCCTTTAGTTTACCTTGTCTAGGTTAAGAAATTTTTTTTTTCTCACAAGCAACATTTGCACGAGAAAACTTGATGGGGACTCAGAAGGTCCGTTATCAACAATAAAACTCATGACTTCTTTCAGCTTTCCTGTTTGTGGGTGTAGCAAAAACTTGTCAAGCGATGGAATAGACATTAAATAAAACAGTTCATTAAAAATGATGAAAACAGCCTCTAGTTCACTTAAAGACAAGTCGATTAAAGTTACAGCTTTTCCAGATCTAGTGATATTAATAACGCAATCAGTTCCTGGGATTTGCAAATCAACATCAGAGATCTCTTGGTATATCCATGAAGAGATGGGTCAAAGGCGTTACTGCGTTCATCGTAGACAAAGAATGATCAGGCGTTTCAAAATTCACCCATCTTTTCCCTGGCTTCAAAACAGGCGAAATAACACACACTTGGTGTCTTTCGAATCCAAGAAACAACCAGTTCCATTTTCAGAAGCAGAGTCGATCAGATAGTTAATGTGGGATGTTGAACAATGGGCATTCATTGGATAAATGTTCTGGCTTGTGTTCAGGGCTTTGTGCAATAAAATATTGGCATTTACTCCTTTACCATGATGGTGTTGTTCAGTTTGTTTTGAACCTTTCCTGTAGTTCATTGTCTAAGTGTAGAGATAGGATGTAGGGATTTTAAAATTTGGTCTCACTTGATTTATCAATATTCTTTTGCATGATGCATAACAGTAGCATCATCAGCGGCTTTAAAAAGAGTGGTTTCCAACAAACGACGATCAGCCTCAAGTCCACCTTCTCCGTAAAGAACTCTGTCACCCTCACCAGATGCAAATTCAGAGTAGTACACAAGTTCAGGAAATTCTTCGCATTTCCGTTTCCTGCCTCTGCCATCTGCGATTGACTTAAACATCTGTTTTTAATTTGGCTCCAGCTTGCTGAACATCTGCACGTTGCTGAGATGCAGTCCTTTCCGTTTTGGCAGCCTTAGTCTCAAGATCAGATCACATTTTTTTTAATTTGTCCAGATTTGAATTTAAGTCACTGACATGTTCACGTATACTGCCTTTAAAGGACTGATTGCCTTCAAGGGAAACAACAGTTTTAATGCTTGTTATTTTTGCAGTAATGTTAGCTTCAAAAACATCCCTATCTTTTTCAAATAGATATACTGTAAAATGTCGTTGAATTTTCCTCTTGAGGTTGATGATACATTGTCAGCTACATTATTGGGCCGCTGTTAAGTTTCTCCAGAAAGGTTTGTACATGGTTTACTACTTCTCCAATCGAACCACCTTTTGATTCAACCAAAAAGGCTTTTCTGTCTATGTATATTTGATCTATCTTTAGGTGTTTTGCTGGCTTTTCATGAGTATTTGCAATAGCACAAGAGAAGTATGTGCCTTTTAATTTCTTTAGCCACTTCCATTTTTATGTCCATGGTATTGTGTGGTCTTGTACACTGTTTTTTCTCACACTGAAGAAGTCATAAACCCAAAACGTTGGATATAGTCTTTTTCTAGATCTATAAAAGCTGTTAATAACTTAGTTTTCCGTGATAGTGAAGCTCTGCCTGCAACTAGACAATCAATGAGATCTACCAGATCATCAAGCAGCAACGCTATTACTTACATCCCTAAGCGAAGCGCAACTGTTACTTATTTTTCATACATGTGTGCCGCTCATGGAATGTTCTGCCCTCTAAGTTACGTACAAGTCACATCTCCCTATCCTCATCTAAGAGTGCACTATTTTAATATTACAATAAGGTTCTGGACCTGTTTGACGTTGATGACATGAGAACCTGGAGATCAATCTCTCCAAGGTGCAACATAGCGAGGACTCTCCTGTGCCTGCCGACGTGCTGCTTCTATCAAATTGAACTTCTGTTTTGTTTCCTTTTTAAGTTATTAAGTTTTTTTTAACATTTCTTAGAAGAATGAACTTACCAGTAATCATGAGATTGTAACAAAACCTTAATCTCAAGACTCATTAATTCAAGTGGATAGTTACAATTTTAATGATTGTTGCTCCTGCAATTAACTAAATTTAGTAACTTCACACCATAAATGATTTCCACACAGCCCTATACATTTAACGTGCCTACATGTTTCGGCTCCATTCATATCAGGGCTCGAAATTTAAAACTTTTTCATTCAGGCGTCCACTGGGGACTGGAGGAAAACTTTTGGTCACCAAATCGAACTTTTTGGCCACCAGTTTCAATATATGCCTTCAAGGCAGTATGGCAGATTTGTCAGGCGAAAATGCTAGTACACTGATGGAGCTCCTTTAGCTATTTCTTCATTTCCTGAAGTACTTGTAAAATCGGCAAAAGACTGAAATCCTCATACACCGAGGGGAGTTTCCATGGATTGTCCCAAATTTAGCTTTGCTTCTTTGCCAAATCTTTTTTCGCTAATTCATAGGTAGTTATAATATAATAATTGTAGTAAACATTGTGACTGAAATGCCCAGATTGGGAGTTACAATAAACGTATGTATGTATGAAATATTATAATAAACTGGTTCAAGACTTCAGAGATATAGCGCATCGTTTTATTACTACAGCTCTGTTTTGTGCGGCCAAAAGATGACCACACTCATCAGGTAATATCAACAACTGACCGTCACATTACAACAACTGGCAAAAAAAGCGGAATACGGTTGCCATGGGATATAAAAACAGCATTATTTATAATAATGTGATAAATAAATATTAGTAATGTGACATATGTAACAACTTCTTCTATGATGTTCGATGTGTCCAACAACTTGTTCCTTCAGTTCCCTTCACGCCTATGTCAGCTCGTTCGTAGGAACAGGGCTTCTGATATTTCGCGCGGTCGCGGACCCGCGAAATTCAGGTATTTCCGCGAAATCCCGCGAAATACCGCGAAATCCGCCAGAAATATTTCCAAATACATGTCGGCAAAACATATTTAATACTTATCTTGGCTATTACACCGGTTTTATTCACCCCAAACGTCCAAATTTAGCTTGAAACTTCGTCACTGCAACGAGTAAACAACGTCCCAAAATTACCAGGTGTTTTTAGATGAACGTTGCGAAAAACTGGGCACTGACCATAATGTTAATAGCTTTAACATTCGCTCATTTCTCGAGCAAACTGTTGTTGAAAGAGCAAATGATTATTCCTGTTAAAAAAAAAAACGTTCACCAACGCTGGTCATATCGACGCAAAATTGATCGATTTTAGCGAAATTTGCCAAAAAAACCCAGCGAAATTAGCTGTTTTTTACTGATTGTTTCTTGGCGAAGCTTCCCCCCGAAATTTCCCGTGAAATCGGCCGATTTTCCTAAGAATTTGCCCCTGAAAATCCTCTGAAAATTGACTTTTTTCCGCTAAAATCCCGCGAAATGGGCCAATTTTTCTGCGAATTTTGACTTTTCTCCCGCGAAAATCGCCCGAAATGGGCCGATTGTTCTGCGAATTTTGACTTTTTTCCCGTGAAAATCCCGCGAAATCGGCTGATTTTTCCGCGAATTTGCCCCTGAAAATCCCGCGAAATTTTGCTTTTTTTTCCACGAAATATCAGAAGCCCTGTAGGAAGTTAGTCCTGACACTCTTTATTTCCTAAATCAAAGTCGTAACGACCATCTTGGAGGTTAAAGCAACACTCGCATAGCATTCCCATCAAGTTTGACAAAATAAGTCATGTGATAACCGCAAAGAAAGTGTGTAGCACGTTCAGGATTTTTGTTTTGCTTATTAAATCTTTTGCTTTTCTTTTCATGTCGTTTTCGTCGTCTTCGTAATTGATCGAGCTCGGAAGTAGCATTACCAGGCAAAACAATTCTTGATATGTGACGATTTCGTTCAAGAACAGATGAGTTGATGGAAAACGCACGATGAAGACAACGTCTGAAGGTACCCATACAGAGGCTCGACACAAGAGGAAACTGTAACAAGAAGGAACTTAAAAAAATTCTCTGTCACAAAAATTAAAATACTAGACTTATTGCCAGAAGGCTAGATTGAGAAATCAAATGTAAGACACTCCAATGACCTTACAACTGATGAACTAGTGTACAACTTTGGCCTAACGTTGTGCAATGAATTAACTAACATAAAAGTAACTGTAAAAGACAAAAAACTAACACCATTGGATCTAACAACAAAGATACATAAGAAGACATTGACTAACACTGGACAAACTGATGTAGGGGAAAAGTTAAGAAGACACCACTAATATTTTAATGGTAGGACTAGCCAGCTACAGAGAAGTGTAAGAAGAACGTGAGAAGACATTAAAATCTAACATTGTAAAAGGAGCAAACTGACCTACAGCAAAATCTGTATGTTGTAAGTCTCTAACAAAATATAATCTCACTAAAACAGAAGATGTCACTCGCCAAAAGGTGACCAGGTCTTAAAATGTAGTCACCAGCACCCAAATTTTAGTCACATTGGTGACCGGTGAGCTGCAATTTCGAGCATTGCATATGGACTGTTTAGTAAAATAGTATGAGATTGCTGCATGCACAATAACTGTATGGGGCTATGTGGAAATTATTACCGGCTTTCTGAAACAAAATTGTACAAAATACCTTTAGCAAAATTAAACTGACAATTAATATCTAACCTTGATATCTAAGTGTACAATGTGACAGTCATGAAGATAATCAACTGCATCCACAACTTGCTTTGTGAAACCAATAGCTTCATTCTCCGTAAGAAACTCTTGTTCAACCAAGAACTCAAAAAGCTCTCCTCCACTCAACCTGTACAAATGTGCACAAAAATGTTGTTGACGACTCACAACAAAGTTTGAAACAAACACAAAATTTAAACCAACAATAAAATCGAATTATAAGGTAAATTCAACAACATAAAGTATTCGGCTATTGTTATACAAACTATTGTATTGAATTCCAATGCAATATCTGTATAAACATTATAACTAATAAAATTTACTGGAGTAATTTTAATAAATAAACTAATTATTACATGCGGGATATCGGTGAACTCTCCAGGATAACCAATAGCTATGTACATCAAAGGTTGGATGTTTATATTTCTCAAATGAAATAAAGAAATATTTCAAGTGCTCACAATTCTAAGACCAGTGTAAATTCAGCGTTGTTTTCAAATACTTCGTGAAGATAGATAACCCCAGGGTGTCTGGCCTTTAGCAGAATATTTGCCTCTTGACATAATTGTTCGGCTGTTACTCCTCTTCGTGAACTTCTGCGCTTTTTCTTCATAATTTTAGCCGCAAACTCTGAATTTGAACTTTTTTCCACGCATTTCTTGACGGTGGCAAATTGCCCACTAGAAAAGAATTAGACGCTGATTAGAGCAAAGATAAAATCAGCTTCTTGTCAGCTTTCTTATGTACATAAACAGATTAACTGGCAACTGGCTTAAGATAAAAAAAAGATTTAGTAAAGCGTACTCACCTCCCTATTTCTTCTAAGATATCGTAGTGTTCTTCAAAGTTATCCTTTCTGATAACCAACGAGGCAGTCATTTTCAATGTCAGCAATCTACAGCACGGCGTTTATTTCAGCGCGACTTCCAGAATATAAGCGACTTTGTTTCACGTCTACATGCCCGATGGCATTTCTAGCGGTCTTCGCGGCGCAGTCGTGATAATTTTTGACTTCGTCTAATCAAGAGTGTCAATCTGTTCTTAGATTACAAATATTAAAATGAATTGATTTTTCTATTTACACAGTCATGATCCTAATTATCGTACCCATGACCGCAGATGAGATGATGAGCAGATGGCCGATGGCCCGTACGCATCCATCATTCCTCTTGGTCAGCATGTATCACGAGTGGGTAAATGCTTCATGTCAAGCCAACATAATATTTAACAAGAAGACGCCCGAAGGCGCTTACGCGGGATGTGTGAGTTTAAGAAAGAATTACGGGTATGTTGGATGGAAATGGAAGTTGAGTAGTGTATGCAACAAATGTGTGCAGGAGAGACGGAGATGTTCTGTTAAGGACTAATACACTAGAAGATGAGTTACACACAAGGGTTCCTTTGCTACTCAAAACAAAACTTACATCAATATTACCACCATATATGTTAGGAGTATGGGATAGTTCACTAAAATTTGCATTCCTTTACTAATGTCCTCAAAAAATGCACTTCCACATTTAACAATAGCATGTAATGTATCGTACTTCCAATAACTACAGGGCTGCAAGGAAGTGCTCTAGGGAAAATTTCAGAGAGCCCTTTGGGCTCCCCAAGCATTTTTAGCTGAGGTACCCGGGCCTCTAAGTTGGTCGCCCAAATTAATAAATCAATGAGCTGTTAGTTAATTATTAAACATTAAACAAATTATTTTCTTAACAAGTCAAGCAGAATTTTGTGAATATTTTTTTCATGAAAAATCACATCCCTTAGACCTCCTGAGCGTGCGAAAAAAAAACCCGCATGTTGTCATATGAAAGTAAGTTTTCGCGCCTTATGAGAAACATGGACAACGCCGCCGAACATTTCATGTGTTTTAAATGGAAAAATAAATTTGGGGTCAAAAATGAGGGCACTATTCTTTTTACTAATCATTTTTATTTAGTTTGAAAAGAAAATTCGCTTGTTAAGATTGACTGAGATCCAGTGGAGCTTTCCAGGAAAACTGTTATGATTTCAACGAAACCGCGGCGCCCCCCCCCCCGGGGGGTTACTTGCGTTAATTTTTGCTGGGTATGTGCCTCTGGC